CGACAGTACCTGCAGGAACCACCATCTTCTCTTGTACAAGTTCTTCCTGATAGCCTTGGAGCCAAAGCCCAAAAATCGACTTAATCGCAGGCGAAGGTTTGATTGTAAATTACGAAAGCTTCTGTTATTCTGAGTAAAAAGAACCTTGTCTGCCATTCCAGAGCTGTTTCAGAAATTATGGTTGATTTAAAGAATATTAGGCCTGTTATTTGAATGCCGAAACGAGAAATCTATTGCGAAAAATGTGAGAAAAGTTTTTATTTTTTAAACTTGTATATATGAGTTAGAGATGTAAAAAACAAAATTGATAACGCGAGAAACCAAGCGAAAACTTTTTATAGCCAAAAAAGTCAGCTTTTGTCTACTTTTTTGTTGTTTTGCCACCTATAACTCCTAAACGAAGAATCAAAGCGAAATGTAAACTTTAATAAATTAGCGAACGTTAAATTGTGCGTCGAACGAGTACATAACTTTATAATTTGGTCAGGTGGTAAAACAACGGTTAACCAACGCTAATTTTTACCAACTTTGTCAAAAACTGAGGCAAATTACTATAAATGACCCTGCAACTTGGAGATGAGTTCCTTAGGAGGAAAAACCCATAGAATCGAAATTGTAGAGCATCAAATTGTGCGTACAGTGAGTTGAAAATAATTTAATGTAGGCCACTTACTCCGAAAAATATAGATAATCTCCGGTGGGTTAGAAATTGGAAATTAAGGTAAACGAGATTTTCAATATTACAACAGTATATGTGTCTATTCTACTTAGTTACTTTTTTTTTTTTAGAGTCTGTTACGTACAGTATAAGCCTCTTTTCCACTTCTTAGCAGCGAAGTTTATTAATAAACGATGTGTCGAAAGATACCGAATTCCATAATGGAATAACGAATCCCGATTCGAGATTTATGATTGGCCTACAATAAAAATGTCACTACTCAGTGGCCGCAAAATTTGATGCTTTACAACTTTTTTCGATGGAGTTTTCCATTCAGGGAACTCATTTCCAAGTTACAGAAACATTTTTAGTAATTTGTCTCAATTTTTGAAAAAAATGGTGAAAATCAGCGTTGGTTGAGCGTGGTTTTTATACTTTATAATAGAATATAAAATAATTTTATTCTGGGACGAAGTCTCTTTAGAATAACAAAAAAGTACAAAATTAAAGTATTATATCTGGCCTAAGTAAAAACAAACATAAAAAGTAAAAATAAAGAGAAAAAAGTAAAGAAATTATTAGTTAAATACTATATACAAAATTTAAAAAAATCTACATACAAAACACTTGAAACCATGTCAAGACAGTTAAAACTATAGTGGTAAAACACAAATATACACTTAAAAAAAAAAATAAAATAAAAAATACATTATATTCTCCTTAGCAATGAACTCTGTGTTTCTACAGAAAAAAAAAGAAGAAAAAGAAGACGAATCTGATATTAAGTATTTAAGTGATGAATTATATATAAATATATCATTATGTGAATTATTTTGAAAAGTATGTAAATTTACATAGAAGGTTAGCGGAGATTTTCTGACTGTTTTTGGGATAGAAATTGGAATAGGAGGGTTTTAAGTGAAGATAAGGAGGGAGAATGCCGAATTTTGATAGGAAGGGAATTCCAGAAATTAACAGAGCGAGAAATAAATAAAAACTTTCTATAAAACTTTGGAACGAGGCAGATCTGTGAGAAGGAATCTAAAGGTCGGAAGGTCGAGATCTTAGCCTTTACTTTATCTTAAACTTTACCTCATAACCAAATCATAAACTTTATGTACTAACGTATGTAAAATTTAACGTTCTTTAATTTATTAAAGATTGTGATGATGATGTAGAGATGGTTGACCGTTGATATAATATGAGAAGGAGTTAGTCGAGGGTGCGGTCAAATAAATAATAGGCAAAAATTAAAATAATTTATATATTTTAATTTTTTTTATTTATTTGGCCGCTACCTCGACTTACTCCTTCTCATATTAAAGATTATATTTTTCGCTTTGATGCATCGTTTAGGAGTTATAGATTGGAAAAACAAACAAATATAGAAAAAATCTGACTTTCTTGGCTATAAAAAGTTTTCCTTTTCTTTATATATATATATATATATATATATATATATATATATATATATATATATATATATATAATATATATATATATATATATATATATATATGTATGTATATATATATATATATATATATATATATACATATATATGTTTAAATTCATATAAACAAATTTAAAAAAATAAAAACTTTTCTCACATTTTTCGATTACTCCAAGCTAGATGGCTCATTGATCCAAGCCTCAATCTCATTGATCGGTTTCTGTAAGTAGTTCTTTATTGGTCCTTCCCTTCATAAGTCCTATTCCAGACCGCTTTGATATAGAGGATTATTTTCCTCTCAAATCTCAATACTTTCTAGAGCCCTAGTTAATGCCTAGGCTTCAAAGTCATGTATTTAAACTAGCTATATCACATCACTGTGCACCCTTAATTTATTGTTCATGATTTTCGACATATACATTCATCCACAGATAAAAAAATAAAAAATTTCAATGATTAACAGGCAGTCCCGAATAGCCATCAAAATACATTTGGAATGTTGAACATGGCAACCAAAGCCGTTCTGTTAATAATAATAGGCACCTAATGATACAAAAACAATACATCAAAAATAATCATGAACACTTCTGATGGAATTTTATTGTTAGATCAAATGAATTTTTAAGTATAAAAAACAGTTTAATTATAAACACATAAATATAATAATTACCTGCAATTATTTTTAAAAAATAAAGCAAGAATTATTTTGAGATAAGAGAGGCTAAAAGGGCGGCATTATTTGTCATTACTGGAGGTGAAATCAAAACTCCAACCTTTCTGTTGAATTTTTGGTAGATTTTGAATTTTCTGAGTATTTGGCTCAGATCATTAATAAAAAATCTATTTTTTTTCAAGGTAGAGATTCCGTCCGAAAGCCCTCTTTTGAATCCGCTAATGGACGACGTTGAACTTCGAGGGATATTTATTTTTAGATTACATAAAAATATTTGTTTCTGATATTTTTAATGTTTTTATGTTAATTTATTCAAAATGAGATAATATTTTGAAGAATATTTATTTAGAAATATATAACGTATATAAAATATAAAATAAGAAGTTGTCAGATACAGAAATAAAAATACAAACAAAAATAAAAATAAAAAATACATTGTCACCTACTATATCTCTGATATCATCATTTTATTTCTGCATCTGACAACTTCTTGTTATTTTATATCTACTTATATTCATTTATTTTATTTTCACCATGTTTTGTATCTTTTGTATCCCTGAAGACGACCTACAAAGTGGGTCGAAACGTCGGCAAAAATTAAATAATTACTATCTATTTAATTTAGTATTTATTTGACCGCACCCCCCTCTCTCTCCCGATTAACTCCTCGTAATATTTACTATAGTTTATAGAAGCCAATTTAAAGAAAATATAATGATGGTTTATTGTAAAAAGCCAATAAATACATTTTTCGAGCTATTTTTTTTAAATACATACATATTTCGGAATTAAAATAACATTTATGGATATAAAAACTTATTAAGGTGTGTTTAGAGGTTTCACAAACTATGGGACAAACAAATATATAAATGGTTATTTCACTATGTTGCTGTCGATGAAACACACTGAGAAATGAAATACATAGTTCAGTTTAGCAATATTGTTGCTAATTAAGTTAGATAATTGTTTTTTCCATAGTTTATGAAATGTCTAAACGCACCTTTAAGTCTGAAATGGGCGAATGTTACTCTGAGTACTGAGTAACAAGTATTTTAACCAAATACTGACTTTTTTTGAGTACCAAAGAATTTAATTACTACTTTATTTGATGTCAAACGATTAATTGAAGTAGTGATTGCATTCCCAATAGTGATTCAATTTTAATAAAATACTTGGTACTTGGTACTCTAAGTAGCATTTGCACATCTCTGTTTTAATAACACATTTATATGTTCATTCGAGGTATAATAAATGTTTTGATTTCATCAAAGTAGGAATATAGTGATTTAATTTTTTAAAATGTTATTTAATGATTTAGGGTATTGTAATACATCTGAAGTGTTAATTACTTAAAAAGAGAAATTTTTAAAAATGGTTTCTTGTTGAAGCATTTATAAATTAAGAAATAATGGTAATTAAAGTGTTAGGTTGGCAATTAAATTATTTCCTGTTAACTAACGTTTCTTATTATGTTTCAGTAATTGATAGATGAACTTATTCAAGAAATGTAATTAAACTCTTCATCTTCAATATATAACATTTGAAAAATGGTCTTTTAATTCATATAAAAAGGATTTCTAATGAGATAGCCCTCTATTGGTTAGCTATTAAACTATTTTAATTCCATTTTTCGGTGTAAATATTTTTGATTAATTCGAACTTGGTCTTGCAAGTTTTGGTATTCAGGTTTGTCTAGAATGATTTTATATTAAAATAAATAGAATTACTAACTAAAGAGATAGTATAAACTGAAGATAAGAGATAAAGAAAGTGTCCTAAGAATATTGAATGTTTAATCCGGTCTTCTTTTAACGTACCAGACTCCCCCAAGCGGGAACCTGTACTTCAAGATTTTTTCTCTTATGTCCAGTAGGTGGAGTACATGCAGGTCTGTATTTGATGATTAATAGTTGTCAGTGTCCTAAACCGGTCCCTCTGCTCATTCTTTGTCCGAACTTGCAGTTTACGTTAGGGTGTCCTCTCCAACGTTTCGATATTTGATGATTTCGTTTCGGCGCAAAAATAAAGTACTTGGAAGTAATAACTGCCTTAAAAATAACATTCCTCGGAGCAAAGGTAGCGAACGATTATTTAAAATGTTATTATAGATGTTTTTAAACAAACTGTTTTATGAGTGTTATAAGTGTGTTGAACGGTAATGGCCAGTTTGAAGTTCAGGTTATGTCAGTGTACTGCTAGATGGTCGCGTTGAGTAGTGAAGTGGCCCCTACACAATTTTTCGCCGGGATTAGTTCTGTGATTCCCTGAAGTCTGTTTGAACAGTTTTGTTCGCCGTATCAGGTTGGCTACGTTACTATTTTCAATGTAACACATCCTATACAATATTTTTTGCTTATCTGTTTGGCAGGTTATTTCAATAATATTCAAAGTGCTATTTGTGGATTACTGTAAATATATGAATATTAACAAGGTGTTTTGTTTTCTTCTTTGATTAGTCATACAGTTTTTTCAGTGTGTTGTAACCTGAAAGTTTGTTAAGTACCAACATTTAAGTCATATTTTTTAGACTGGTTATTCTGAATACAATCAAGGTGCAAATAGTTGATCATTTTTAGGTTGAATCTTTTGAGTTACTTGCTTAACACCTTGTCAACAGAAAGCCCACTCAATGGGCCCTAGAAATCCAGGTATTCTAATTTCTTGTATGTAGAATTCCATATTGGTCTATATAATTTAGGAGCATGTTTTGTTTCCAAAAGATTTTTCGATTACACTTACAGATTATTTGAAATTTAATGAATAGATCTTGGTAAAACAACATCTAAGGTTTTTGGTGAAATTTGTGTATTTAACCATGATCCCCAGTTGTGTCAAAATACCAAGACAATTGGTTTAATAACATTATTTTAACATGTATTTTCTTATTGATTTGTTTATATAATCTTGCTCCTAACATTTTGATATATAATTACAAACCCTACTTTAGTATGTTGGTGTTAACTTAATCTTTAAATAACATAGTTTTAGTTAGCACTATTTTGACAACTTTCTTCTTTAATTACTTTTATCTAAGTTATTTTATTTATAATTTGGTTTAAACCTTTTTACCTCAGTAGCTTTTCTTTTTGGTTAGGATTTCATCTAATCCTGATTCTGGTATCTTGCCCAGTTATTCATGGAACACTATATAAAAAATGGATTAACTTAAATGAAATCAAGGATTTGTTTGATGAAAATGGATGTGTAACAGGTAGGAGTATAATCTAGATAGGGTGTAATTATCTTCAGTATTAACTAGTTTAATTTGTTACTTAAATATTCCTTTATCCACTATAGGCATTATTGGATTGTTTTCAGTTATTTTCTTGGGAAGATATTTATTTTTATTAAGATATTTTTAATGTTACAATTTGATTCTTCTAATTTAAGTTATTTTGTATAATTTTATTCGTTAGTTCAATAGACATTTCCCTGTTTATATGAAATAAGTCTTTACATTATTGAGAGAGTCAGGAACTTGTGTGAAAGGAACTGTATTTTTTCAATGGTAATTCATATCATGAGATTAGGTAGGTCATTAGGTAGATGTTCGTAATTATGTTATTATCTAATTTGAATGACAGTATTAAATCCAAACCATAGTAGCTCAATGTATTTAAGAAAAACATATATATATATATATATATATATATATATATATATATATATATATATATATATATATATATATATATATGTTTCTTCAGTTGCAGTCTATTTAAACTAAGAATACATTTACAAATTATACCCATTTGCCCATATAATTGCAGAATTCAGTTATAGTGATTGGTAATTCCTAAGTTCATTTTATTATTTATTTTTTTATCCTTAATTTATTATATTCCTATAAATCATATGATTCTATGTTTGATTTTATTTGTTTCTATATTATTTGATTTGGACACATTTGCTTACAACAATTTTTATTATTGAGATATTAACATAATTATTGGAACAGTGACTCATAATAGTGATGATATATCTATTTACATTTGTATATTTGTGGATCATTACTTTTTTTTTTTAATTTGTTAAAAAATGTAAACAACTAGTTTCTTAATATCAATTCTGGTCTTAATTTCTTAACTATGGCGCCTTTGTTAAATCATATTTTAATATAACGTTTCATTTACAATGATACAATTTTAAAGTTTGCATAAGTAGTTTAGTTCCCATGCTTAATTTGCTCTATGCCCTGCCAGATAAAATTCAGCTATGGATGTTCACTCTTTAGGTTGAAATTAATAATTTAATTAAGCGTTTAGCAAATCATTTCTATATGCCCAAAATGTAGTTTAAGACCTTAAAATGCTTCCACTGGATGACTGCTTTCTCTCTTAGACAATACTTATGATAATTCAAATAAAATTGCTGAAACCTCGTTTATATTTTGTAGAACAACCGATTCGGTTGATAACTATAATCTATTAGGTTTTTTAAGTAACAAAGAGTAATTGTTCCTACTGAGCTGGCCTCTAGAACAGACATCCAGTCAAGAAATTGTTCCTAATACTATGAATAACAATTAAAAAAAAGTTTTTTCGCTTCATCCACCATAGAAACAGCAGATTATATCTTTGCTCCTTGAGGATGTGATAGCCGAGCACATTGGGGCAAGGGTCCCAGAGTGTTCGGTTTTGAAAATTGTGGATTCGATTCCTACCTGGGTCGGTTACTTTCATTTCTCGGTGGCCTCGGGAAATAAATTTCCACTTAGGCAAGAACCAACGGCAACCTCAAGTTGGTTGTTGATATACTTGCCGGACTAGTTTCCCCCACTAGTAGGAGTATCAGTACCAATATTTCTACTTCTGCAACTCCACTTGAATTTACTTGAGGAATTTTTTTATTACATCATGTAGTGGAGATGTCTCTGGAGTAATTTTAAAAGTGGATAATCACGTAATTTCATGGATTAATTATTTTAAAAACTCTTAAAAGAGTACATTGATATCCATTATCATTTTGTCAAGGCATGTGTAATAGAGGGACAATTAAATGTTTTTACAAATATTGCAAAGTTGTAACTCAAAAATCATGATTTTTTTGGTTTATTATTATAGGGATAATTGTAATGATGTCTACTTTTTACCTAAATCAAACTAACCAGAAGTGGTACTTTGTATCAACCATTTTACACATTTTTTTTTTAAAATGGCTCTAATGATTTCGATTGACTCATTATATCAATGTATAATTAAATGGTCTTTAATATAAGGTGAGTAAGTACTAAATTCGTTGAAATAGTTTAAAAGTACTATGATTCCAATTTTTAAAAATTTCTTCTCCTAAATCACCTTTAACTTTTTTTATTTGAAATAAATAACCATTTTATATTAATACTTATAAAACATGCATAAATACAAACTTTAAAAGAATTTGAAAATTAAATTAAGGAGAACTTATGCTTGTTATGACTAAATCGAATGCTAATCGCAGCCGAGAGGTTATGGGCATTCTCAATAGTTACTAAGTGTTCCCGACTTTATGCTACTCTAATATCTTCTGTAATGATAGTTAATAGTGACACTACTCATGGTAAAAGATATTAAGTTATTGCCTAAAATTATAGACTCTGAGTATACTTAAGATCATGTAGGTAGGTATTTAGTAAGAAAGAAAGATATAGTTGGTTATAAATTGACTTCAGCTAAAATATAAACAAAATTGTTGAAACACTCATTGTTGGAACTAGATAGAAAAATAGATAATTATAAACTATAAAAGAAATCTATGATTAGTTATAGAAGTAGCTACAGAAATATTTTCCCAAATGTATAATTTATTGTCAGAAAGATTAAAATTAAAAACAAAAATATATAGTTAAAAGGTAATGAACAGGGATTAGACTGTTCGGAAAAACATGCTAATTAAAGGTTTTAAATGAATACATTATAGCATCTAGAATTTTTACATTCACTAACTTCTTCGTTCTTCCCTCTATGAGGTTTCAGGAAGTAAAAAAACAAAGTTAGTGGTCCTCCTTTGGTCCTCCAGATTTTCGAACACCTTGGGCATTCACTTAACTTATATGAAATATTTACTTATTACTCACATTAAAATATCTAGTGGCAACATCTTCTATTTACAAGTGAAAGTATGATGTGTGTACCACACTTAAAAAAAAGAAGATTTTTAAAATAAATTTAAAGGCGTAAACCACCTAGGTCATTATCATTATCACCTCAATTTTAGAAAATCAAAACGTTAATCAACTATATATGTATAGTCCTGTAAAATGGCATGTAGGTCATTTAACAAGTTTCAAGATTCTTTAAGTGGTTCGTAAAATAGTTTTTTAAAAAATATTATATTATTCTTTTTTAGTTGTAATTACTGTTTTATAACTGGAAAAGCAATTTTAATTGGATTACCTTCATCATATAATAAGTATAAGTTAACAACATCAACCCAAAACATTTAGTAATGCTATGTAAACAAAAACAAAAAAAAAAACTTCCTGGAATGTATACATGTCTTTGTTTATGAGAAATAAATTAGCAGACATTAAACTTTTGTTGTCATATTCATTTGATTTAAACTATTTTTATTTTAAAGATAAATAATGATAAACAAAACAGATATGTGGCTTTGTTGACAGTTTTCAAGAAACAATCATGCTTTCTGCAGGCTTCCTAATGACCTGTGTCTAAAACTAAATTGTAAATCGAATTGCCATCAAAAACAGAGTAGCATGCATGTGCCTACTTTTCCATTTACATGCTCGTGTTCACGTATGTGTGAACGTATTCCTTAAGATTCCACTGTTATATCAGTATCTGATGTCTGTTATATGTCGATTGAAAAGGAAGATATTTTATGCGAATGCACCTCTTATTCCTTATTTTACTAAGATGTACCTGTTATAGAAAACAAATCCACTCAAAGTTGTCTTAAGTGTTATTTTTAATAGTAGGGTGTCGTTTTTTTTGGAAGCCAGAAACGACTGAAACTAGAGTTAGCTTATTAATGGACATCTTTTAGTTTAGTACTTACAAAAAGTGCATTAACAGAGTATTTTATTTTATGTGTTGAAGGAAGCAATATGGCTGTCTTACACGGATTAAAAAACTGCCCCATTGTGATATAAGAGGAAGAAGAAAAAGTTGAAAAGAATAAGATTTTGTTATTAATAAACTACTTTTATTAGAATATATAATTTCATTTTGTTTTAATTACATTGAACTCTAATTTGAAGTTAATGTATTGACTCAAAAAAATGTGAGTAAAATTTCTCTATAGAAAAGAAAGATACATTTCATTCACTGACTTAATGATCATTTTTTCTCAAGAATGAGGGTGCTTATGAAGTTGAGATTTTAATTCATAGTTCGCCATATGATGTAGATATGCAATAAGGCTGGGTTTCAAAAAAACCGTACTCTTAACAGGATTAAAACTTTTAAAATTAAAAATTGTTCTCCGAATAACTTGAAAACTATTTGTGCCCCCTGGGAAACTATAAATGCTTATTTCTAAGCTGATAAAAATTAAGAAAAATATCATCTTACCAGTATTGACAAGGATACAGCATGTTTTAATTTAATCGAAGTTTTTTCACATGTTTCCCGAGAATCCGGACAACTCAAATATTTTTATGACTTACAGTTATCGCTATCATACAAAAGACCATTATTAGGGTTAATTTAATGATGGAATGGAAACAAATCAATGATGTGGAGATGATTGACCATAGTTATAATTTGAGACGAAGTTGGTCGGGGATGCGGTCAATATATTATACCATTACATGATATAGTATTATATATTGACCACACGTACCAACTTCTCAAAAAAAGAAATATTTGCTGGGTAATAGCTAGTTAGTTTCAAATGAAGGCAGAAAGTATAATTTGTTTTTTTCAAATTACAAGCCATTAATTCTCTCAAGTTAATGGTTATCAAAAATCTGGGGGGTGGGGTGGCCGAATAGGCTAAAGCGTGTGCACAGCACCGCTAGTTGCCTGGCAACCGGATTTGAGATGATATAAAAAGTACGAGTTCGCGTCCCGGTGCCGGAGGGGATTTTAAATTTCCCGCCCTCACCCCCCGGCCCGGGAAAATCCCGTATAGACTAAAAGGCGAGGTAGGGAAGAACAAAAAAAAAATAAATAAATAAAAAATAAAATAAAAAAAGTTATCAAAAATCTGTAACATTTTTTCCAATTCCGAAGCAATTTCAGAACATTAAATATCAAAAATTTGTGAATAATAATGATGATAACAAGTGAATAACTTTTAATAAAGTTTACTTTAGAGATTACACTTTCCTGAAAAGAAACATTTCTTTTCTATGTAAATTAACTACCAGACCTGGAAATTTTAAGGAATTTTATTTTTGAGTCCGTGGTGGCCAAGCTTATTAGAATAGGTTGCTTATACCTCTAGAATAACTAAAAAAATGTTGATGGAGCAGTATAAAATTTAATACTGAACCATTTGTTTATAAGTTCCCAAAGTTGCTTCAACTTAGGGCCAAATCGGATGAGCTCTTTTTGAAAATAATAGATTTGTTTAGATCTAGATGAAAGAAGTGTATGAAATTTGATAAAAGTGATAGGAGGCTATCTAGGTACAATCCCCTCACAATCACCAAAATTTTTATCCAAATTGGATTAACAGTAGTAGGTATTATGACCATCCCATGGTTTTGACCACATCGGTTCTAATCTGGCCTGGGCGGATTAAAAGTTATTTCATGGCGGACCCAGAGAATGAATCTCAATCTTCCCATTATGGTTAGAATAGGTTTGGTTGTACCTCTAGAACAACCCTCTCTCCACCTCGGCAGTAACAGAAAAAATAGAAAAAAGGTTTTTACTACAGACTACTGACATAGAAATAAATATTTTCCTCAATACATAAAACATAAGTGACCAGTAGAGTTTTCCGTTCTGAAGAGAAATATATTTTTTTCTATACCTACATGAATACAATTTTTTTTTACTTTTACTTACTCATATGTGTAATATATAGTAAGAGTAAGTATTGCGATCGTGAAAATTTTCGCGTCTTGAGTTTTCAACAGAAACACGTTTTGAGGTACCATGAGTCCAAATAACCAATTCCCGAAAAATGGTATGTGAACACTCTAGCTCGAAAATAAAAAGTCGTACAAAATTGATATTACGTATATAAGATAGGTATATGCCTTAAATGTCACAGCAATTTTTTCATTAAAATCATCTAACCGGATGTGCCACTTTATATCAATGGTTAAACACATTTTTACAATTTTCTCAAAAACGGCTCTAACAATTTTGAATAAACTCAGTGTATCACTGTATAATGAAGTGGTCTTTAATATCATTAAGGTCTTATCACTGTTGATGTCACTTTACAGGGCTTAAATGCACAATTTTCATCTACGTCTTCCTCTAAAGTACCTTTAATATGGTTCATTTCAAATAATTGATTATCTCTCATTATTAAGAGTTATGAAAAAATGCTAAATATAACTTTTGAAAGAATTTGATAATTGAATAAAGGAGAAAAACATAAAAATGCTTATACAGGTTGAAAATGAATTTCCGGAAATACTAGTCAGAAGGTATAAGTATAATATATCTTTGGAAAGCAGAGAATTTTAGAAAAAATAATATCTAATAAATAAAGTTGTAGAAGGTAACGGAGAGTGGCGAAAAAATTATAAATAACAATTGTTGAAAACTAATATTATTTAACATAAATCACATGTTTTCAAGGAAATTAAATGAAATTTACTAACTAAATGTCAGCTTTAAAAAATATTTTTAAGTTTGAAGAAAGTATTTATAATACACCTAATCAAGGCAATGAAATTGAAAAACTATTTCATATTACTTGTGTGAAAGAAGAAGTGAAATATAAATTCATTTCATGGATTCGTTTATAACCTTAAATATATTTACTGTAGTTTAATAACTCTAGATCTGATATTACATTTAAATAATTAGGTATCTATCGTCTGTTTATTCCGAAAAATCATGTAACCTTTTAGAAAATTAAATTAGTGAATAGTTTGATGAAATTTCCTTTTGTGATATTCCAACAGTATCCACTTACAATTAGTGTGACAACTTTTGAACTGTCATGACAGACAATGCAAATCTCTTAATTTTGTTTGGTAAACTTTGCAATGGAACATAATAGTTTAATAACTAATAGTCGTACAATCCATAATCAACAGATCATACAATCCACAAACAACCGGTGATATAATAAATAGGGCTTTTGTTATTTTATTATTATTTATGATTTGTTAGCTGTAATCTTTTAGTTTTAGCTCAGTTAAAAAAGCAATTCAAAAATTTTATAATAGCCCAACATTGCCAGAAAATAATTTCTGTTCAAAGCTGAGCGGTAAGTGAAAGTTGTATGTTGCGCGCACCAGGTTTTTCTTGGGTTAGTAAAACTTCACTGTCCACATGACGTTCTTGAGTTCTAGAGTTTTTAAAAAATAATAATAACATGTTTTTTTTTATTTTGGAACAAATCTCTTTATAATAATACAATTGTGGGCTTTAAGACCTTGTAGTTTTGTAAAAAGTATAAGTCAACTTCTAACATTAATGAATTTAAAAAAAATACTTAAAAACGAACTAATTATCTATATACCTATTTACAGAAAAAATTATTTACAATTATTTGGGAACTGGATGGATATTAAGTGATTTAATAGGTGGGATTTAAAGGTAAGAAAGAGGGAATAGAATTCCATAGGGACGATGATCAAATTATGGAAGATCTGGCAAAAGCCGTGGTTTGGTGAGCCATTATATATAAGTTTAAAGATTGGATAAAGATATTGTATATTGGATAGTATGGATATTGGGAGTCAACAGACTTCGTAGAGGTAGGATCTCAGAAAATATTTTTGACGATAAGAACGGTAAAGCCACTTCAACTCATCTTAAAAATGGGAGACAGAAGCGTCCCTCGGGATCACAAAGATGAATCGTAGAAAGCAATTCATCAAACGTTTGAGTTTTAATAGATGTTTTAAAAAAACCTATGTTCAATAATACACCGGTAGCATTCATGAGATTCATTCTTTAGTTACATGTAGACCACACAAATTATTGCTTCCTACACGTTTACAATCCTTTTAAACAGACATGTAAGTACACTTAAAAATGACCGTTTTAAAATAAATTTTTAGTGATAAAGAATAATCAATTTTGGTTCCAGAGCTCACAGAACTTGATTATTTTTTAAAAGGCTCCTCTCCGCACTATTATGGATTACAATGCATAATATGTAAAATATTGTACCAATTATGTATAATATAAGATTATTAGTAGAGATAAGTTTATTAAAATTTAGACAGAAATCAACATTTTTTTTTATCCTTCTTCAATAAAGAATAGAATAAATTATATGACAGTGTTTTTTCTTACTCTAATAAGTCCCAGAAACTTTTTTTTGTTGTTGTAATTTTAGTGGAAATAGTTCTGCCCTATAAAGGTCTGACATTAACTCATCCAGATAACCAACAAGTGTATGCAAAAGTAAGAATTGTGAGCTTTATGATTTGAATAACAGTTTATATTACAGTCACCTTTAGATAATTTTCATTTTAATTCACTTCAATTATTTATTTATTATTTTTTTGCATTGGGTAGACCATTTATTGAGGCATAGTTTAGGCTTTATTATGTTCCATTAAGACCCATTCGGTGGGAGTAGTAGCTATGAAAGTAAGTCTGGATTATGCTTTGCTGTTCTAGTATGCTGAAGTATTGTTTTGCTGGTACTGCCTATTGCTCCTATTTCGTTGGCACTGCTCAGCAATCTAGGTATGACGTCATATCTATACTGCGCTCCTTTCTGTCCATTCCTGAAGCAGTGAAGCTGTTGGCAGTATAGCGGTTATAAGTTATGTTATCATATCAGAGAATTGTTTTTCTGATAATAGTCATGTTATGCATTTCATTTCCTTTTTTCAAGTCTGGCAAAATTAAATGAAAATTTAAACAAAGCTATAGTAAATCATTTTTTAAAGGTTGAAGCGACAAGATTATTTTAACACCAAAAGTATTTTACAGAGGAATTCAAATATACCTAAATCCAAATGATATTAAATAATTCAAAAAATTTTAACCTCAGGTAAATACTCAAATTCAGGGATTGAAAAAGTGCTGATTTACTGATTTCTCATTGATAAAACTGCAAAACATTGCTGTATTTCATTATATTCATTATATGTGATATTTATTACTAAAATGATCATACTAATAATATTAAAACATTTAAAATCAGTAATACTTCTTCAATTCTTAAAGTATTATAAGAAACCATCATTTTGTGGAAATTGGACTATAATATGTAGATAATTGTTAAAATTGTGTAGTATGCTTAACCTAATATTGGTATTGAATTATAATTATAAAAAAAAAGAAGATTAAAACTACGCCATCATATGTATTGCTATCCTTCCGATACAAATGAAATCCATTAAATTTAAGGCTAACATTTTTATTTAAAATTATTTCAAACTAGAATACTAAATTGAGAGTTTAGGCTGTGACGGTGAGCAGTGTCAGCAAAATAGACAAGCATTAACAGTTGGCAATACCAGTGAAATAGTTCCTTAAGATGTCTGTAAATAATTAAGCATACTGTGTTTGTAAAAAATACTTTATTTGTATAACAATATAAAACTGAAGAAGCTTTCTATCAAGTCGGTTTTTTTTTAGTGATGGTTTCTTTATCTTTTCAACATAATCTTTGTGTGTTATTCAGTTGATGTGATACATTTGTTTATGTTTATGTGCATCATTTGTATGATACAGGCATATATATATTATAAATTTAATGCTGATAAAATTATAAGGCATAGATGTTGATATAAATTTTAATATCTAATGTTGATACCATAATTGCTTATATTCATTTTAAGATTTATGGTTATATCAGATGTACAATTTCCTTCAATAATGTTATAATTATTTTATTTATTGTCATGACGTTATCTTTTGTATTTGTATGTAATTGTATAACTTATATGTTACTTTTAATGTTTCAGGCCATTTAAGTATGGCAGGAAGTGCGCCAGTGCCTGTGGGTACTGACAACGAAGGCTCTTCTGCTGGTGGCCAGTCCAGTCAGGATGAGCCTGCCACGACTGACGGCAGCCAATCTGTTTTAGGGAAAGAAAAGACTCCTATGTGCCTTGTCAATGAGTTGGCGAGGTATAACAAGGTCAGATTGTTATTTATACTCTTAGTATTTTTAACATGTTATTTTGATTGAATAACTCTGGTTCACAAAAAGGGTCCGAGGACAGATTGTAATAACTATCAAGGTATTTCATTCCTTCCGGTATGTTATAAAATATTCAGTTTAACCTTAACTGGTTGAATCACGGAATACGCCGAGAAAATTATCAGAGACTACCAATGTGGATTTAGACGGAATCGTTTGACTATTGATCAAATATTTTCTTTACGGCAAATATTAGTGAAAAAATCAGAATACAACGGTGTTGTTCACCAGCTGTATATCGATTTCAAAAGAAGCTGTATTACGGTTCTATTGACCGCTAGAAACTGTATAATATTCTAATCAAGCACAGGATTCCAAAAAAAATAGTAAATCTTGTCAGGATGTGCTTAACCAGAGACACTGAATAAAGTTAGAATCGTTAATAATTTATCCAAAAAGTTAAGAGGTCCGTTCAGGTTTCAAACAGAGTGATTCCCTTTCGCTTTTCCTGTTCAATTTGGTATTAGAATATGCCATTAGGGAGGTAATGCATTCCGAAAAAGGGTTGGATCTGGGTGGGACAACACTTGTTCTCTATAGAAGGTAATATGTTCGAACAGGTAGAGAAGTTTAGGTATCTAGGGTCTACAATAACTCGAAAAAACAAAATTGAATAGGAGATTTTCTGTGACAAAACTACTTAGCTCGAGTCTCTTGTCCCGGGAACTTAAAAACTAGAATCTATAAAACCATTATCTTATCTACAGTTCTTTATGGATGCGAAACGTGGTCACTTACACTGAGGGATGAGCAACGTCTTCAGGTTTTTTAAAATAAATTATTGCGTAGAATATTCGGACTGAAAAAAGATGAGCTACCGGAGAGTTCAGACGCAAATAGGTATCCTTTCATAATAAATTCCTTGCCATCCAAATCCTTCAGTTTCCAACTTTGCTTCCTTCTCGATTCCTGATAATCCTCTTAGGCATCTGAAAAGATGATGGCCTCAGATCTTTGAATTTATAATTGTTATTGGAGTGCTAGCTATAGAACTTGTGATTTCTTTACAAGTCTATTTATGCCATTATTCTTGCTCTGTTCTCATTTACTTGTATTTTTATTTTTAATATAGTTGTAAATTTCAATAAATATAAAAACAAAACAAAGAATTTGTTTTTATTTTAAATTTAATGTATCTCTTAATAAATTATAATATCTTCGTTTACCAGCTCACTACTATTAAATTTGAAACAATTAGAGATGGGGAATTAGTCGACTGATCAATTATTAGGATGAAAAAAAAAATGTCAGGAATTGCAGTCAAGAATTTTTATTAGGTTAGGCGACATTTCGATCCAGATATGTGAGTCATCCTCAGTGTTAAAAATTACAAAATATAAAGTAATATCAGTAAAATAATAAATATAAAAGTATTAGGGTAATAAGAAACTAATAGTGGTACGAGAACAGAAAATTGTATTAATCGTTTGATTTTATTTATTTATTTATACATGATATTTACAACTGTATTAAAAAATTAAATACATTAAGTAAATTTGATAACAGAAAATAAAAACATGAAATGACTTGTTGAGAAACTACCCACTGGTAGCACTCTAAAAACAAAATGTATTTACAATAAGAGATCTCGAGGCCATCTTCTTTTCAGATGCCTCGGAGGGTTATCAGGAATAGAAGAGGAAGCAAGGTTACGAGAGGATTCGGATGGTTCTGAAGTTTATTATGGAATGATTGGTATCTGGATTGGGCCAAATCGGAAACATAAGGAACATTAAGGTCATTATGGATTATTTTATTGGTGACAAAGTAAGGAGCATTGAAGATTTTCCGAAGGATTTTGGATTGTAAGGATTGGATACGAGAGGAATTTGATGGCTTAGTGGAGCCCCAAAGCTCAACTCCGTAAGTCCAAATAGGTCTTATTGTAGTCATGTATATAAGTCTTTTGTAATTTACTGGAAGCTTAGAGCGTTTGTCTAGTAAGTGTTGGAGTAGTCGGAAACGTCGAGCAGTTTCTTGTCGTTTCAGTCTGGTATGAGGATTCCAAGTTAGACGTTTGTCCAAGTGAAGTCCAAGGTATCAGATTTGTTCAACAGGGATAATCGTTTGATTTAAGTATACTTCTAGAATATTATGTAACGAGGTGACTTGTCTCTCATTAATTAATAATTTTTATTTTAGTATTAAAAATTAATTATTATCAACTTTTATTTTTGCAGATTGAACATCAATACCGCCTGACGAGTGAAGACGGTCCACCCCATAAGAAGAAGTTTACTGTTACATTAAAGCTCGGTAATGAGGAGTACACTGCAGAGGGCGCCAGTATCAAAAAGGCACAGCATGCGGCTGCTGGCATCGCCCTCAAGAGTACTACCTATAAACACCCGCCACCTAAATCTTCTAGGCAATCTAGAGGTTCAAAAAGTTAGTTGTCAATTTAATACTCTTATCTTGTTGTTTTAGGCAAGGTCAATAAAACTACCGGGTTTGCTCACTGAGAGGGAAAATGGTGGGGAGGAATTGAGCTCTGATGTAGCCAAAAGACTGATTTTACCCCTCCGGCCTTTGTTTCTGAACATTTTAAGATTATTATTTACTTTTATACATTAAATCAATACTCTTTTGCCAAATAACTTATTAATTTATTAATTTTAATAAATTTGAAAGGTGGGACAAAGGTTGATATTTGGTTTATTCTGAAGCAAATAAAATGTAATTTAACAAATTGATGTATGATTTTCAAAGTACCACAATACTAATTTTTAAATATTTCAAATAAATACAGAGCATATTATAAAATAATAGAAATATTGAAAAAAAAAAAAACCAAACAGAAAAGGTATTTAATCTTACATTAAAGACGCGTTTTCTTTCCGTGAACTTTTTTAATATTACATTTCTATGTCATAAGTAATCCTATATAGTTTTTTCTCAAGTTTTTTGTCTTTGATTTTATGTTTTCTTAATTGTTATAAAAATCATTAGGTATTTAAAAATTTGATTCTATTAAATACCCGTTGCTGAAAGAAAGGCTTTCTTCATTAATTTCTACATTTTGTTTCCTAAGAAAAAAAAGATGGTAAATGTTTTTACAATATTTTTACATTTACATTTTAAAATCCAATCTTTTCTTCGATCTTGGAAATGTATGAAATGAAATTTTCTTTCCCATCTTCTTTGTGTCAATTAGATTATTATTGCAAGATGCAAATGCGCAATTTGTACCTGGCATTCTATAGGATTCTATTATTAATTATTTTATTATGAGAAATACAAGAAATACTAATAAGAACAAACGAATTCTCTGGAGCATGTTATTAAAAATAAAAAATAAATACTCGTAATATTATTTTAGAGACAGATAAGTAGTTGACTGTTAAGATTATAAGGTGAAAATAAATTATCAGAATTTGCAGAAAAATTTGTTTATTTTTAAAAAATAAATTTATTTATTTAAAAAAATTTTGACTGCAAATCCTGACAAAGATCTTCACCCTTATAATATTATTATAATATCATTATAATATTAAAAGAAATACCCACGAGATCTACAAACAAAATTACACATTGTGCTAAAATGTTAGAATTTATGAACAATCTTAATATCAATTTCGTTCTTTTCGTTTCAGGCCTGGCCTGTAATTTTCATAGCATTTTATTCTAAATTGATAGCCGTATTTATTTATTTATCTTCAATTATCTTCAATCAAACGTCAAAAACACAGAAAAGTATTCTTCTCAATAAATTAAACAAGAAAACAAAAAAAAAAGCACAATAATGTTGAAATAAGCCTTCATAGATAGGCTTGAAAGAGTAATATGTAGGTCTGACAGTCTATTCCTTACGTCACGTTTCAAGTTCCCCCACCACACATTTCTGAGTGAGCGAACCTGGTAGTTTTATTGACCTTGATTTTAGGTATTAATTATTTCAATAATTAGTAGTATACGTAATTAATAAGTTGATCATAAAGTAAATTCTTTTTTTTTTTTTAATAAAATAAAATTTTTGAAGAACCTGGATGTTTATGCAATTCTATATCTGTATTTTGAACATAAATGTTGTTTGTCTTTTTGTAATGATTACAGTATTATCTTTCCTACTAGTTTCTATTGTCTATTCAAGTTTTTATTGTTTTGATATTGTAATTTTCAAACATTATTTCATATTATGTATTTAACTCTTATAATATATAATCAATTAAATAGATTGTTTTCATTTAATTTTTAATTCTTCCTCCAATGATTAATATTACCTTTTAGTTCGGAACTTTTTTTAGGCACATTGTTATATTTGTGTATCTAAAGGTACTATTTCGCTGGCGCGGTCCATGACAGCAACCGCTATTCCACGCTGCCAACCGCTGTTGGCGTAGCTATTTCGCTGAAACTGCTCACTGGGGTTGTTATAACCTTCGAACATCTTCGAGGATAAAAAAAGTGAGACATTCTTTCTCTGATTACACTTTTTTATTGGAGGAGGAAGAAGAAGAAGAGGAAATGGTGTTCATTAGGAGAAGGAATATCAGTATTTCGATGAGATAATCATCATCCGAATCATCAAATCCCTTCTTGGACATTGTTTGCTATTGTCTAGATTAAAAATAAAAAATTGAGGAACAACCAAATAAGAACAAAAAGGCGGGCAACGCCGTACTAACAACAATAGTCCCTCTGATATTAGATATTAGTTTGAAAAATAATAGTAATTATTACATAATTGATTAGTAATAAATATCATATAATTGTAAGTAAATCACAGCAGACGATGTTTTATCGTTTTATCAATAGTAATCAGTAAATCACCACTTTAATTAAAAAATACAAATCGATTTTTAAATGAGCGGATTTTAGTATCTGCCTGACATAAAATTTGTTGGATTCTTTAACTTATTTAATATCGTTTGAATTTAGATATATTTGAATTTCGCTGTAAAATATTGCTGGTGGAATAAATAAATAAATAATCTTGTTACTTCAACCTTAAAAAAATAATTTACTATTGCATTGTTTCAGTTTCAAACAATATTTGTTATAATTTTGCCAGACTTGAAAGAAACATAGAAAATAAAACGTATTGACGTGACTGTTATCATCAAAACAATGCTCTGATATGATAACATAACCTACAACCGCCGAACCGCCAACAGCTCCACTGCTTCAAGAGGTGTCAAATACGAGCAGCTTAGATATGACCTCATACCTAGACTGGCAGCGAAATAGGTTTCTTTCTATTCCACTAAAGCAGTGGTCAAACGCGAGCAGTCGCGGTCATGGACCGCGCCAGCGAAATAGTACCTTTAGTTCTTATTGTATATTGAGAGATTTTTTATGTTTTTTTTTTATTGCATATTACATAGTATATTCTATGGGGTTTTCTCGTATGAAAATCCAAGCATTGCTTATGAGCTAGTTAACCTAAATCACTGGTTTATTTACTTATACAAATAAATAAAAGTAAATGTATTTTGTAATATATAATTTTCAAATTGTTTTTCAGGTAACATTACCCCAACTGTGGAATTAAACGCTTTGGCAATGAAAAGGGGAGAACCGACGGTTTATACCCTCGTCGAATCTCCTCAATTCCACCAGTACACGTACCACCACTCCCACAGGGGGATGTATACTCAGGTATGTATATGATGAGGTGATGGCCGAGCATGTCAGAGCATTGCCCGCATTTACATTCTCGAATCTAGCTGCGTTAGTTCGAATCCAGTCTGAGGGTGTTGAAATTTATTTCGTGGAAGCCCCTCAGAATGAATCTTCACCATCCAACTCTGATTAGAATCGATTTGGTTGTACTTAGGGATAAATAAGGATCAAAAAATATACGTAAATATATTATGTTAGTAGGTAAGCTTAGGACTTGAGAAAAAATAATGTGTAATATATAAAATCTTATAAGTTAAGGGAAAGTGAAAAAAAACAAAAAAAAAAACTGATCACTAATTGTAGTTTATAATGTATATTTTCAAATTATTGAATGAAAAATAAATGTTTCCATGTATACTGAATGAAATTTCTGTTGAAACTAAATAGAAACTTTTAAATTTTATGTGAAGCTTGACACAAAAATATATCACACAGCAACTTCAGTTGCTTAACAACCCATTTTATTCCGCTTTAGTGAGACAACATATGATGAAGTAAATGCTTCTAAAAATATTTCAACTGTGTTTATTAGTGAGAAAAAACAATGGTTATAATCTTTTATAACTTTATTATAATTTTATAATGATGTAGAGATGGTTGACCGTGATATAATATGAGGAGTTGATCGTGGGGGAGGAGAGGGGGGGGTGGTAGGGTTACTTCAACAACCACACTCCTGAACAACTCCTCTTATAATTTAATAACTTTAAAACCGATGATAGATTTAAATAATTGTATATCGTTGGTTTATTACTTTAGGTATATAATCTTTATAATTATTCAAATTCATTGGCAAGTGTTGCCATTCGTTGGCATCTTTTTTTTTTTTATTATTATTATTTATAAAGGCGTCAACCATTAGGGTCATTATCTCCTCACTTCAATGGTTAAAATTCTAAATTTTGGATGTCCAAACTTTACATTTTATTAGAAGCCTACCAAATTCAAATGATTTAGTTTTAATTTAAATTAAATAAATTATAGATACAACAGTTCATTGCCTTGAAATTATTGAGTTATGGTTGGATTTTTTCATGCTAGATCAGTGAATACCACATACACACATTTCTTTTATATTCTTTTTGTTATACTATAATTTAAAAAAAAATTATTTTGTTTTCAGCCCTACAACGACCATTTCTCATTCCCTTACGGAAGAGGAAAACCTAATTTCAGAGGCGGATTTAATCGTGTTGATCCAGTAAGTAAATAATTGCATGACTTTTTAAAAAAAATATTATGTTTTTAATTTAGTTTTCTCCTCAACCTCTGCCTTGCTATATATCTGTCTCAAAAGTTATTTCTCCCCATATTGTCTTCAACATTCTTGTTGGAACTTATTCTTCAAGCTTTTGTGGAAATAGTTAAGGTATTATAATTGTGGATTTATGGTTGACTGTAGTGAATAATTGAAGAGAAGGATGGCTTGAGGTGTTCAGTAAAATTGAAATGAAAAAATAAAAAATAATAATTTTATTTATTTTTACATTTGCTGACGTTTCGCCCCGAAGTTCAGGCCTTCATCAGGGCTGGGAAAAGAACCAGATAACAATAGATATAATAATATTGAATAATACAGAATTAAGATTAAAAAAGGTGATAGTTATAGACTAATCATTTTTAGAAGAACAACAAGTAGACAGAATGAACATTAAAGTAAACCAAAGTAGGTAGAATGATAACAGTAACAGAAAACTAAAAAATAAATAATAATAACTGCAACAAACCACGGACCAATGAAATAAGCATAATAAAATATAAGGTAACACAAGAAATGAAAATGGTAATCTAGAACTGTATTAATAAACTGTAAAACAGAAAAGAAATATGAAGGAAAAAATAAATATAAATAGAACATTAAGATATTGTAAAATCTATCAAAAAATATAATATAAAAAAAATGTATGAGGAAATGTATCATATATAGAAAATAGAGATGGAGATATGGAAAATAGAATGACTGGAAGGACGAAGAAAAGCAGAATAAGATAATAAAAATAAACATCTCATTATGTAACTTCATATTTCTTTTTTCTGTTTTACAGTTTATTCTAGATTACAATTTTCATTTCTTATGTTACCTTATTTGCTTTACTATGCTTATTTCATTGGTCCGTGCTTTGTTGCAGTTATTATTATTTATTTCTTAGTTCTCTGTTATAGTTATCATTCTACCTACTTTGTTTACTTCATTTGACGTTAAGTTGTTCTACTAAAAATTATTAGTCTATACTTATCACCCTTTTTAACCTTAATTCTGTATTATTCAATGTTATATCTATTGTTATCTGGTTCGTTTCCCAGCCCTGATGAAGGCCTGAACTTCGGGCAAAACGTCGGCGAATGTAAAAATAAATAAAATTATTTATTTTGTACCATTTCAATTTGACCGATCCCCCAACCATCCTTATCTTCAATTAAGGTGTTACGCTATGAATTAAGAATCTTTAAAGATGAGGCGGAAATAAATTTTTTAGACTTTGTGGAACATTAAGTATATAATTAAAGTAATATTAAAATAAATATATGTTTATTGATACCACTTACTTTATAAATGTGCTTTTGGGTTCCTCAGTTTCCAAAATATTAATCTACCCTCTTCCTCACCACTTTGATTTCTCATGAAACTTAGTTCTTCTATTCTCCTAAAATGTTTCCTATTAACTAAAACTTCAAGAGTAAATTGTGGTCAATCTCTTAGTAGACATTATGTAAGAAAAAATATTTTGGGTTATAGATGAAAATAGACAAAGGATGAGGAAAACACTTACTTAATTCAAAACTTTTAAAAAAGTTACCATTCAAATTCATAATGATTACTTTATTGAACTTTTTCTCTTGTATTTTTCATTAAAAACTCCAATAGCTAAAAGATATAGTTAATAAATATGTATCTTACAACAGTTAGTCATGTCTATAGTCAAATAAGTACTTACAACTATTCATTTTGCTTTGTATATTTCTTTTTACTATTATTATTTTTTTATCTGCTTCAATTAACATTTTCTGTGAGTTTTAATAAATATTTAATGTTACAGAGGTTCTATGGTCCAGGAAATAAAGCACCTCTGTACAAGGTTGTGGTAAAGGTCGGAGAACGTGAGTTTTCTGGCGAAGGGAACTCAGCACAAGCCGCACGGCATGACGCCGCTTCTAAAGCACTTCAGTTACTGCACAGTTTACCCGTTGATGACACTTGCCCTGCCAATTCTACTATCTGTGGTATTACATTAATTTAATTATGATATTTAATCCATATTATAATTATTGTTCAAATTGTTTTTGTTTTTTTCAAAGCTTCATCTTTAAATTCAATTAATATTGAAACATTTCTCAGATCGAGATGTTTCATTTGAATGATAAGTAAAATGGATTATATTAGTAAAATAATTTTTATGAAATTAGAATTTGGCCATTTTTTGAGAAAATAATGATTATTTACTAACCTTCTTAATGAAGAATTAATAACAAAGTTTTCAAAATATGGCATCAACAAATATGAATATAAACTTTAGTAAAGATAAATAACTCTCTTCTTTAGTAAAGATCGTTTTCCCCTTTTATTTGCTGCAGGATCAGAAGAAGGTATGAAATTATGTTTACACTTACTAAATTATAATTCTCCGTTTTTAAAAGGAAGAAACAAACTTGATCTGTTAAATTATGATATCCAATAATTGATAGTCCAGGATAGGAATCTTGAAACTTTTTGCCCCACGGACCACATTGTGTTCTTCACCAAGTTTCACAGCCACAATTCTGGCTTGCGATGAAAAAAAAAAATTGTTCTCTAATTTGCTCTTCAGTTGTGAAATGAGCTTTCTATGAGAAACAACTCGTGCATTAACTTCGTGTTTAAGTGATTTATTAAATTTCATGTAGAGAAAGATTGTTGGGGTGATTAGTCAAAATAAAAAATAGTAAAAATAAATAATTATTTATTTATTATGAAGGCCCGAAGTACAGGGCTGTTCAATCCGAGAAACGTGGAAACTTTCCACAACTTTTGGATTGAACAGTCCTGATGAAGGTATGAACTTTAGGCAGAAACGTCGGCTAATATAAAAATAAATATTATTATTTATTTTTTATTTTGACTAGATCACTCCAACCATACTTCTCTTCAATTATTTATTCACTACAGTTAACCATCAACCCACAATTTTAAATTTCATATTTCTTAAATTTTGCCATGTAATTCAAGAAACTTCCTCAGTCCGGATAGGGGGTGCTTGTTTGTTTGGAAACCCCTGGTCCAGGATACCTTAACAAAAAACATGATTTATTTCATACAAAGTTTCACTGGATCAAAAATTATGTCCTTGAAGAATAGATAAAAAATAGACATCTTCTGGAATGCCTATGTTCGATTATAAAACGAGAGTCAATTCGAAACCAAGTTTTGCATCGAATGAGTAATTAACATTAGAATGTTTACCAACTTTGTTTTGATTCCCTTGTAATTTAGGTAACTTTGACTGATTTCACAAGTTTGACAGTTATAAACCTAGATCCTATTTAACTAATAAAAAATTAATGCTGCCAGATGACTGCCATAAATTTAATAAAATAAGTCATTTTCGAGATGGGAGTGGGGTAGCTCAGCGGTAGGGCACCGATCTTCCAATGCTCAAGGTCTCAGGTTGAATCCTGGCTCATGGCTGAAAAAATATTATTCATGGGGCGACCCTCTGGATCGGGAGACCCTTCTGGGGCACAACCAGCCTCTGTAAAGTGGGTAGCCTTTTTTTTTTTTTTTTTTTTTTGGCTTTAAGCACGTCGACCCCTTTGGGTCCATTGTGCGCCAATATTCGCTAGGTCGTCTTATTCAAAACGTTAGTCCTGTCGCTTCCGCGTATCTCAGTAGGCTGGTTGGGTTAACCGACTCAAATCTACTGGGGAGATCCATCTGTTCCTCCCCAAATAACGCCAGTCTCAGCCTTATAAACTTGTCACATCTGCATATGATGTGAAAAGCTGTTTCATTCTCCTCCTGACAGAATCTGCATATCGGATTCGTCATTACTCGGAGATTGAACATATGATTATTTAACTTACAGTGACCTGTGTAGATCGCTGTGAGTTTTTTGAGAGCTGCTCTGTCCATGTTCAGTAGCTGTTCACTCCTTTTTTTACATGGGCCTTTAAGGAACAGCTTCGAGTGTCTCTGTTTCTTGTCGGTCCAGTAATTCCTAAATTTGTTCCCATAGATCTCCCTGATCCTGCCCTTGGCAGTACTAAGGCTGATTCCACAGACAGGCTCGGGAGTTATAGGAATAGTATCTGAGCCCAACCTGGCTTGCTCATCAGCCATTTCGTTGCCCGGTATGCCAGAATGGCCTGGCACCCACTCCACTGCAACTCTGTTGTGCTCAGTTAGCTCGTTAAGTGCTCTATTGCATTCCTTAACGACCTTTGAATAAACATAATAATTGTCAAGAGCACCTATTGCTGCCTGACTGTCAGTAAAGATGGTGATCCTTTTCTCAGTCACATTGGTTTGCAGTAGGTTTTGTACACAATGGCAGATTGCCAGTATCTCGGATTGAAACACTGAAGCATACCTGCCAAGTGGTATAGAAATTTTTTCTTTTATATCTTTGCGATAGATGCCTGCTCCAGAGCCGAAGGCTGTTAGAGAGCCATCTGTGTAGCAATTTATTCCACTATTTGGTTTATGAATTCTGCTGCTATCTATCTCAACCTTATATTTCCGGTCCTGATGTTCTCGGATTAGAGTGTCAGAGTGCATAGCTAGCACTCTTTCACTTCCAATCCTGTTCAGCAGTGTTGTGTGTCCTCCCTGACAGGGGACTGTTGAGCAGTAAGTTGACTTGCTTATCCTGTACAGTGTGACTGTTGCCCGAGCCTCCACCTCCAGCTGCAGCGGGGGCATGCCAAGCATCACCTCCATAGCAGCCGTCGGTGTCGTGCTCATTGCGCCTGTTATCATTATACAAGCAAGCCTTTGGATCTTTCCTAATAAGGATACATTGGCTACAGTCTTTGCTTTGTGCCACCATAGCAAAGCTGAGTAAAGTATGATAGGTCTGACTGTTGTTGTGTACAGCCAGTATACCATTTTTGGTTTTAGCCCCCAATTCTTTCCTATCGCTCTTTTACAGGCCCATAGGCATTTGAGGGCTTTACTTGTCACGTTTTGAACGTGTTTAGTCCATGTCAGTTTATGGTCCAAAGTGACTCCAAGGTGCTTTACTTCCTTACTCAGTGTCACTTGTATACCATTGATTTCCGGCATTTTAATAGCCACCTTCTTCTTCTTGGTGAAGATACACACATTGATTTTCCTAGGGTTGATGCTTAGTCCTTTAATCCTGCACCAATTCCTAAGAATATTGAACACTGTACTGAGGATATCAGAGAGGACACTCTGATGCCTCCCTCCTATGAGGATGGCAATATCGTCAGCATATCCCTGAGCATAAATGCCTGCAGTGTTTAAGGCTTCCAATAATGAGTCAGCCACAAAACACCACAGTAATGGAGAGAGCACACCTCCCTGAGGACATCCCCCACAGGGTTTAATCCACAGTTCCTTGTGCCCTATTTCTGATTTTAGAACTCTGTCCTCCAGCATTCTCCCAATCCATCTGGAGGTCATAGCGTCTATATCTTTTTTCCTTAGCGCATCATTTATGATGTTATAGGGAGTTCTATCAAAGGCACCCTCGATATCAACGAAGACGCCTATCATGATTTCTCTCTGTTCTAAGGATTTCTCAATTCTTGTTACCAAGTTGTGAAGCGCCACCTCACAGGATTTTCCTGGTTGGTAGGCATATTGCTTTGAATGTATTGGACTAGTAGCCAATATGTGTTCCCTAATATGTCTGTCCAGTATCTTTTCCAATGTCTTCATTAAGAAAGATGACAGACATATTGGCCTAAATGCCTTGGGATCTTCATAAGATTCCTTTCCTGGTTTAGGAATGTATCGCACTTTGGATATCCTCCACTTACATGGTAGATATCCCAGTGCTAGGCTACCTCTTAGAAGTTCCAGAAGGTATGGCCTTATTTCTGGGAGACCCTTCTGCAGCAGTGCTGGAAAGATCTCATCCATTCCAGCAGACTTGAAAGGAGAGAACGAATTCACTGCCCATTCAAGTCTACTGTTTGTTATCACTCTTCTTGCCTGACCCCACATACGTGCACCAGTACCACGATCCTGTGTATTGGGGTCGAGAAGTTCATTTACTGTCGTAAAACAATTTGGGAAATGAGCTTTTGCTACCACACTCAATGTTTCTATCTCATTCGTGGTGTGCTTATCGTCATATTTGAGTGTTCCCATTATACCTGAATTGGTTTGTTTTGACAGTATTTTATTTACCTTACATACCGCCGGCATTACAGTGGGTAGCCTTAATTAAATAATTAATTAAGGAGGAAAACCTGGTGGTTGAGCGTGATCTCAGTCAAATCACCTTGCACAACCACAACCGTTGACTAAGAAACAGTACTTTCTCTAAATAGTACTGAACCAAAGATCCTTCATGGGTTGTAGTGGTACAGGTCTTTTTACTTTCACTTACGTATATATGTAATATATAGTAAGGGTAAGTATTGCCATCGTGAAAATTTTTGAATCTGAGTTTTCAATGAAAATACCCGTTTTGAGGTACCCAGAGTCCAATTAAGTTAGTCCCACAAAATGGTCTGTGTCTGTGTGCGTGTGTGTGAACAGCCTAGTTAAAAAAAAAAAAAAAAAGGCGTACAAAACTGAAATTGTGTATTTGAGGTTTTTTAAAACCTTCGGAATTACAGCAACATTTTCTTCAAAATCGGCAAACTGGAAGTGGTACTTTATATCATCGATTTCACACATTTTTCCTATTTTCTCAAAAATTGCTTTTACGATTTTGATTAAACTCAGTATATTATTAAGCAGTATTAGTATAATTTTCAATATTAGCATGCTTTAAAGTACCTTTAATTTTTTTTATTTGAAATTGTTTATCATTTCACATTAATCTTTGATATAAAAGATAGTTAAATATAAAATATGAAATAATTTTATAATTAACTAAAGGAGATATAAGAGATCGTAACGGATAATAGTTGTAATTGAGAGACCGAAGGAATACAACAAGCACACCTGAGCTCACCCGTCCTCGCTCAAAAGATTAGAACAGGCTTCCATACGTAAGATGAGTATAATATAATACGGACTGCGACAATATTATGTACCTATACATATGCGGTTAATGCTATCATTTAATATTTAATTGTATAGATCGCAGCGATATAGAAATTAAAATTTGTATATATGACTGTAATTAAACAAAAAAAATACTCAAAATGAAATTAAATAAATATAGCATCTATAATTTTTACTTTCACTTCCCCTTTGTCTGGAAATACTTATTTCTGCAAAGAACTCTCAGATTTTTTTTTTATATATCAGTTTCAAGAGCATATACTGTATATTTTGATAATGTCTGTCATGCAGACTTTGTGGATGGCATTTGACTAGTGCATTTTTATTATTTTAGTATACTTAGATCCACTTTATGAATCCAGGTAAAGTTGAACTTATGAAAATTGTCCTGTTCCTATAGTTAATGTTCAATGTAATATCGGATCAAATTTATAATGATAATTACTCATTCAATGCAGAATTTTTTGTTTAATTCTTTCATTTTTAATTGAACTACCATTTTGTAATTCGTTGGATTCATGCGTGCGGTCATCAATTTTTTAGTTCTTCAGGCACTTAATTGTTTCAAAAAAAGTAAAGCTTTGTAAAAAATAAGTCACATTTTTAGTATGTCACTTGACGATTTCTGCCTGTGCTCCCAGACTGTGCTATTTTAGTAGTTTAATAATTTTCCTCTTCCATATAATTTTCTCTGAAAATGATTTTCATGGGGGTGGACTTGTATTTCAGGAAATATGGTAAATGAAAATATATAGTTTTATTTCTTACAGAAACTTATGATATAGTAGTCACAGGTGCAGATCCTTTTTTATCAAATTATTAAAATCCCATTAGCTTAAGATTCAAGTGCAAAACCAAATGAGTATACATGAGTTCTCAGCACCTCATTAAATAGACAAATTTATTGATTAGATCAAGATCTATATAAGATATCTTCGGTCAATTCCCTTCTGTTAAAATTGTTAATCATTTATAATTTATTGTTTTTATTAGAGGAAAGTTATATGATCAGTGTTTGGCTCATTTTGATTTTTTTTTTTTAGTGAAATATTTTTTATAATGCTCAGGTTCACACGCATTAAGTACAATTTAATTATATTTATTAGATAATTTATACGTTTTAATTGAATCATTGTTGAGTCGAGCTAAACTTGAGTATTGCCTGTGGAACTATTAAAGCATTCCATGAATTGTTTTTTTATTAGCCATGAAAACTTTTATATTTATTAGTGTTCTATGAAATTATTGTAGGCCTGAAAAAAGGTTTTTTAGGTTCCTTTAGTTTTAAGTTAATTTTTAAACGGCTAGTGTGTTACGGCTAGATTTTTAACACAAACTGTGTATAATCTAGAAAGAATCTTCTATAAACATTTCTTATGATGAATATATTTGATTTATGAAAATAAAACATTCACTCAAGTCTTCATCCTTTATAATTTTGTATTTGAATTTAATATTATAAATCGATTTAATGTTTTTTAATTTAAAATATTATGTTAGGAATTAATAAATAATTTAAAATCCATTGTTGTTTTTGTTAATGTAAGTAATTATTTAAAATATTTTTTTCATTATCAGGTGGTGGACTGACTGAGCAGGAGTCGGAACTTAAGTCACCAATTTCGTTAGTTCACGAGATAGCTTTAAAGAGGAATCTTCCCGTTCTTTTCGAAGTTATCTCTGAAAAAGGTCAACCCCATATGAAAACTTTTGTAACGAGGTGTTGTGTTGGCGATAAGTTTGAAACGACTGGTGAAGGAAATGGAAAAAAGGTTAGAAATATTCTTTTGTTTTAAAGTTTAAAATAGTATGTAAGATCAAGATATATATTCACTGCATTTTATATAAATCCATTTAAGGTAGTATTCAGAGATAGTCTTGTGTTAAGAGTGCTTTTAGTGTAAATAAACACGGTTATAGAAAATACTCCAGAAGTACTCAGACAATTTTTATTTTAAATCTTAATAAAAAAACAAAAAAAAATCCAAATGAATAGGACAAAATTGAACTCAGTGAATATTTCTTGACCTTCACTTTTTAGTTGGACTTGGTTTGTTTCTTCTGATGTGATTTTCTTAATTTAATTTTTATATTACAAAATATGTTTAGATTTCGAAAAAACGAGCAGCTGAAAAGATGCTTGAGCAGCTTAGGACCCTCCCACCGACGACAACCGTCACAGCTCCTGGTTGTGCATCAGCGCTCGCTCGTGCGAAACGTAAAGCTACTACTGGGAAAAAGAAATCTAGAAATATTATTAAGGAAACTCCTGTTTCTCAGGTATAAATTAATATTGTAACTTCTTACTTTTACTAAGGGTGTTAGGAAACTTTTGCAATATGAGTAATAGAATCATACGAGAAGGGCAAGGGTTGGGATATTCGTAGACTGGGTGGCGAACGACCTGGAAAAAAGGGAAAAAAGCAGGGAATTTTTTTAGTATATAAATATTTTTTATCTTCCTTGGTTATAGCATGCCAATCATCTCTATTCTTTACTCTTTCCTTCCAGTTTCTCACTGAGTCAGTGCTTTAAGGTCACTTTCAACATCTTGCAGCCATCTTTTCCTTGGTCTTCCTTTTCTTCTTGTGCCATACAATGTAGAGAACAATATCTTATAAGGTATCCTGCTGTTGTCCATTCTAACCACGTGGCCTAACCATTCTATGCGCCTAGTTTTAACAAAGTTAACTATGTTGCCGCTATTATATAGTTCATACAGATCCGAGTATTTTCCACAAACCCTCTTCATAAACAGCTCCATAAATTCTTTTCAATATTTTTCTTTAAAAAATATTCAGCATACTAATTGTGCTTGTACAAAGGATCCATGTCTCCGCTGCATAAGTCACAATAGGTCTTACTAAACTGTTATATAGTCTTATCTTTGTTTCTCGTCACATGAGCGATGATTGAAAAATTTTTAGATTGGCATAGTACGCCCGGTTTTCTACCATGATCCCATTGCTTACCTCAGCAGCTATTTTATTTTTAGAATTCACTTCCACCCACAGGTACATGAATTTTTTGGTACACTCGAAGGTGAGACCATATATTTCAATGAGGATCAGCCTCATTGTTGGCCCTGACGTACATGTATTTTTGTATACTTGTTTCATGTTTTTCAGCAGTATATGTCACTATATAGCTGTATTAATTCACATCCTCAATCCCTCCCTATACCTTCAAGAAAAACATTTCAAGTTTTTAGCATAATATGAACCTTTTTTATTATTATTTAAAATGTAGTATCTCATGTTTAAATATAGGTTAATTTAACCTATTTTTTTTTTTTTCTTTAGGAAACAAAATATGATGAACGTGATAATAGTGATGAAATGAATCCTATTTCACGTTTGATCCAAATTCAACAGGCTAAGAAAGAACGAGAACCTGTTTATACTTTACGGGAAGAACGTGGCCTTCCTAGGAGAAGAGAGTTCATTATGGAAGTATGTGTTGTAAAATATTTCGCTGCTGATTTTTTTAAAAAATTAATTATTTAAAAAAAAAATTTCCTATTTGTATATCATTCTCAATAGATCTTGTTTATATTGAATAATACTGTCTCATTCTTCAGCTAGAAATTATTTTCTTAATAGATATTTTATGAAAAAGAAATTGAGAAAAATTTATAAATGTTTTCTTTATTAAATTATTAAATTATAGATTAAATTGGTACAGCTCTTTCACTGTCCTCCTTCAAAATAAAATTCTTTACTAAAGCTCTACGTTCTATGTCTGGTATACAGAAGTCATTAATACTGTAAAATTATTAAAATCAGATGGAGATTATGAAATGGTCTACTTTAGGGAAGTGTCCGCAACGGGAAGTTTCACTGTGTTAGAATTATGGATAGTTAATTATTGTTTTGAAATAGCTTTTGTATTCGAAGAATATTCTTAAATCTTATTTTTAATTTTTTACCATTCATTTTATTTTATTTGTTTACTTTCTTAAAGGTGACTGTGGGGAAACATTCGTATATCGGATCGGGACCTAATAAGAAAGTAGCCAAACGAAATGCTGCTGAAGGCCTTCTTCAGCAACTTGGTTACGCCAGCCCGACGTTGAGCAGGAGTGGTCATCCTCTTCCTCAAAGTCAGCCACAGCAGTCCCAGTCGCAGCCTTCGCAGCAGCAGCACAAAGTATTTCAATTTTTAAGATTCTGTATTTATTCAAATATAACTTATTATTGGCAGAGAAAGATTTTTTCTAAAGAATAGCATGTTTATTTCTCTTTCCATCATAACGTCCGTTCAAAGGCAAAATTATGTGTGTGTGCATTTTCCTTAGTTTGAGCAAATGAAGTTTGAAGTTTCCCTTGGTATTTTCAAATACTCGAGGTATTTTAATTATACAAATTACTTTCGGAGGTTCATTCTTCATATTCATGGTTTCACCTTAAGAAACTTTATAATTTCTTTTAAAATTAATTTTAAACTTTACACATGAGTGAAATTTAATGTTTTTCACATTCTTATTTTGCCTTTGAACCTGCAATAAATTAAGATTAATTAATATATTTGAGTATTCTGGTATAAACAATTTTTTTCCTATTTAATGTAAACTATTTTTGATATTTATTTATTTTGATATTTATTATCTTATTCTCTTAAAATAAAGAATATTTAATGTGACATATTAGCAAGTTTTAAGTCGGTCAAATTTTGAAAATGTCAGTATATAAAGTATGTAAATAATATATGGATATGTGCAAAATAAGTAATAATTATGTAAAAGTGATGTTTGAAAATTGGTACAAGTTGCTCAAAACATCACACTAGATCAAAATACGATTAAGTTCAAAAAAAGATGTTATATGGAAAATTTCAATCATCGCATAAAAATAAAATTTTTATGTCTGATTTTTCCTGGACAAAGGGTGACTGAAAAACCCACACTGAAAATAAATCAGCTAAATAAACAATTGAAACTATTATCTAGATTATAGCACGTTAGCTGCGGTTATGGTCCCCGGAGTCGTCTGATGTCTCGACTACCAAACGGCTGGAATTATTTCGAATTTTGTCTATTTTACGAAGTCTTAAAAATGGTAATTTTTAAAAATATTTGAATGAGAGTTGGATAGATGTAAAAATAAGAGCGTAAATAATCATTATATCTGATAAAAAGTTTTCGGATGTTGGGGACTGATACTGTACCAGACTGATAAAAAATGATTTCTCCAGGAAATAATTTCTAAGAAATTTTTAAAAGTTGAGAAAATAGTGAAACTCGTGTGATGTGTGTACTAGATTTTTTTATTTTCACTAACTTTCTTTTTTCTCTCTCCCCTTTCTAGCACCGGGATTTTAACTCATTATCTTACATACGAAATTAAATAGCTATTTCTTCGTTAATAGTTGTCCAAAATGAACGATTTTAATTGTTATTAATAAAGGTTTGTAAGTAATTTAATTATCTTTCTAAAGTTTTTATATAAATTTTACCATAGAACATATACTTTATAGAACCGTTTACTATATAGAGCCGTTTTCGCCTATGTGCTTTTCACTTATTGCGCATGGAGCACCCGATTTGGTCACAGGCATCAGTAGTCTAAATCCTACAAAATAAAAAAAGAAGCAAAAAATCAGTCCACTAGTTCTCGAGATAATTGTAGCGTAGACAGACAAACCAATGGCTAAACAAACCAATGGTTTTTCTGACTCAGGGTGCTCTGAAACGTATAGATCCGTCGAAAACTGCACATCAAAAATTTGACCCAATCACAATACTTTCCTTACCTAGTATAGGTAGGAAAGTAATAAAAAATAATGTATGCATTATTCTCTCTTCAATTACTACACTTGGATTTTGATGTAACTGTCTCAGTTATAATAAGTAAATAGTATTATAATTTTGACCACTGAATAATTTCATAGAAATATTGAAATCCATCATAAACCTACACACAGGTTATCTACAAATAAGTAAGGCATCTTCCAAAGGCATGGAAGCGTGGTATTAATAAATATTAGAATACAAAAAATTTATAACGTTTCATCTCTTTATTTAGGGGAGGGGAGTCAGAGATTCATATTTAAACCAGGGAATTTGACTGACACCCTGTTTAAATTTAACACTGATAACTTTCAAGATGGTAACCAAAAGTTTTGGGGGCGGAATGGCCGAATGGGCTAAAGTGTGTGCACAGCTCCACCCAACCATATACACTGACAGGCAAAAAATTCCATCCACTTGTTACCCATTAAGGAGCCACGTTGGAAAGGTTGGCTCTGGGAAAAATTACAGGCTGCATATCTTTCGTTTCTTCTTCTCCACACCCTTTCACACCCGTCTGGAGATCGAAGAGCGAATCTTGACTCATCTGTAAAAAGTTCAGCACTCCATTTGTCCAATGGGTGTGTTCTCGAGCAAAAGCCAGCCGTGTTACTCTGTGAGTTCTGGTCAACTCTGGTCCTCTTACTGGACGAAAAGCCATTAATCCATACTCATTGAATCTTCGCCGAGCGTTCATTCAGAAATTTGCACACCTCGAACTTCTTCGAGCTGATGAATCGCTTGAACAATGGTAAAGTGCTGGTTTCGTAAAATTCTCAAAGTCAAAAACCGGTCATCCCGTGGTTCTGTTATCCAGAACCGGGCCTTCTATTGTAAGAACCAGTTTCCTGAAAACGCCTGACGGCGTCTCGTAAAGTTTCATATGGAACTCCGATAGCATTAGCTGTATATTTAATGGAACGTCCATCATCAATAAGTGCCACACCAGGCACAACTTCCTCAGCATTAAGAGGCATTTTTAAACTTAATATTGAAAAAATTAAAAGCCGGAGACTAAGAAATGTGCTGCAAGAAACGGCACCGAACTAATGATACTGAATAAACATTTTGATTCCATAGAAAGTAAACATTGAAATCTAGAATCATTTAATTGAATTAAGGATTAAGGGATATTGTCCTCAATATTAACATTCCTAATTGAAAACAAACAAAAAGATTACCTATTTATTCATTAAAAACAATAGACCAATCCAAAGCAGAAATATTTTTAGATGAAAACATAAAAAAATCAAGTGGGTGGAATTTTTTGCCTGTCAGTGTATATGAAGTTTTGAGAGATTAAAAAAAAAGAACGAGTTCGCGTCCTGGTGCCAGAGGGGATTTTAAATTCCTCGTCCTCACCCCTCCGGCTTGGGAAAATCTCATATAGTCTAAAAGGCGAGGTAAGGAGGGAAAAAAAAAGGATTTGTTTTTGAGATATCTGCAGTGTTTTTTTGTTTTTTTTTTTACAGATTTCAAACTATTTTGTTTTTTTCAACTCTGTTGCTAATACTTTTGTTTAGCGATTTATGCTATGTGTTATTTTATGAATTTTTTCTTCAAATAATAAATGATGTTTTCTTTAACAGGTAAGATTTAGTGATGAAAAACCGGAAGGCGGGGTTTCGGGCCGACAGCTTGTACCTGGTCTTATCCTTATGAAGGACAACAAAGCCACAAATAATGGACACAAACCAGGCACAGGTATTTAATCATTTTTTAAAGATACTAATCAGTTTCCATTTAAAGTTATTTCTTTCCTTTTACACGGATAAGTTTATCTAACAAAGACAAAGTTGTAGTCTCTCATAAGAACATTACTCCTAAACATTATTTTGAGTGTTATTTGTTATTTTTGTTGAAAAATTTAAAGAATAAATTTCCATTTCCATTAATTCAACTCAACGTCAACGTATAGGGTGTCCCGTAAATGATATGAAATATTAATAAAAATTATAGTAAATTGAAAAAGAAACAAAAAGTTCATATAAGCAATGTAATGTCCATACAGAGATGGACTGTCTTATATCATTTCAAAAAACTAATCTTAAAATAAATATTAGTAATAAAGTAAAATGTTAACTGATTTTTTTCTCTTTTACTCTCTTCCACTGTGCTTGATAGTTGAATTTTAATTTTCATAATTTGAAATGGTAAAAATAATAAATGATTTTAAAAATACAAAAAAACAAAACATTGATGTTACTAACCTGGAAAATCAGAGAATTTTTTCGCCGTACATTTTTAACAATCCTGTAAAACAACAATAAAATAAAACAAGAGTTTTATAACATTTACAAAATACAAAGGCAAAATTTATTTATAATATACCATCTAGAGAAAAAAATATGGTGACTACAATTTCTTTGTCCCAATTGTGATCAAGAAACTTAACGGCGTATACCAGCATTAACATAAAAAAAACATTCTGTTCAAATTAAAATTTATATAAAAAGTAAGAGAAAAATTATGTTACAAAATGTAGTTTGAATTATATTCCTAATTTGTTTGATTGTTCTGTGGTTATTTATTATAAACCACTTGGAAGATAGTAACTATCAGTTGGTTAGAAATCAGTAAATGATAACAAAAGATAGTCACTTTTTTGGTTTATGTCCATTGACATTAGTTTCCTGGATATGTCCGTAGAATATAATTTTTTGCACTTTTGTTCCAATATTTGTATATTCTGTATTTTTGTTTTATTATTTAGTAATGTTAGCTTTTCAAGTATTTATGTGTATAAATGATATTGTATCTATTAAATTTGAATATCTTTGTCTCTTTATTCATTAACTGTTTCCCCTTCTCTAAAATTATGATTTATAATTATTTTATTATTTATAATAAGTAAAATTAAAAAAAATATATATGTTTTACTCACATAAGTTCATTTTATTGTAGGTGTCAACTTGAAAGCCACCATTGCCAAAGAGTATTTAAGTGAGGGTTCTTCGCCTACAGCTGATGCACTTGCTGGAGTGAAACGCCAAACCAAAAATTCATCTGTAAGGCCTACTGAACAGCTGGCTTACTTAGCTTCTGTACTGAATTTCCAAGTTCAATTTTCGGATTTCCCCAAGGTATATATTTTATCTATTTTGTACTATTTGAGGAACTTAGATATAGGCAAATGATGATTTTTCGAAAAGTAGATTTATTTGCATGGCTAATCTGAAATTTTGAGATATACCTGTCCTGTTCAGCCAGTGCTTCCTTATAGTGGACAATTAGTAAACGCCCAAACTAATGTTTACTGAGATTTAAAAGTATTGCGGTACTAGCCACAGTTCAGGAAATTTTATTCGAATGATAAATAAATAAAAATTTGTTATCTGTTAAATAATATTTAATTTACTGATTATTTGTCAAAAAAAATAAACAGATTTTAACATATTGGGATTTTTCAATACTTATGCTCACCATTTACAGCCTTTAACACTTTCTCGACCCAAGTGGAATCCTCAGGATAGGTGTACAACTTGCTAACATTTCTTTACATTATAATGCTAAACTTCTTCTTCTTTGTCTTCCTCTTGATGCCATTATTAGAGTCGAGGAGGATAGAATCCAATGCAGTCATGCCTCTTAGTTCCTACTAAGCTGTCTCATTTCTTGGAGGATTTTACCTCTTCTCTCCAATCCGCTGCATATACTCCTGATAGGAAATTCTGCCTCCTCCCAATGGGTAGAGCTTCCAGAACCTTTCATGGATCTCTCTCCTCTATCCGACAAACTTGGCCAAACCACTTCAACTGTTGGTTTCCCAGTAATATTCTTAGCTCTGCTACCTCCAGATCCTCTCTTATGGCAAGGTCGTGGTGGCCTTGAGTGTGTTTGAGCGTTGCCCGTTCTATCATCCTTGTGCCTAGCGACGCCGGTTCGAATCCGGCCTGGGAGACTTTTATTTCGTGGCGGACCCACGGAATGAAACTCAACCCTCCCACTAGAAATAGTGGGTAGGAGGTTATCCAACAAAAAAAAAAAAAAAAAAAATAGGAGAATTCTCTCTTATATGTTATTCCTGACACGATCCCTCCTGGTCTTTTTTGATAGCTCTTCACAGAAACTTCATCTTGGTTGCTGTCACACGGCTAATTTGCTTGTAAAGCTTTCGTTCCCTTGCCAAGTTCCCTGTGCCCAACTATCCTGTTGCAGATAGAGTAATAGACCTGGTTGGCTTTGGATATCCTATTCGCTACTTCTGGGTCTATCTTTCTCGTGTTGCTGATAATTGTCCCCAATTAAGTGAATTCTTGCACAACTTCAAGTACCTCCCCGTTACAGATCAGCTGAACGTCCTCTTGTTCAACTCTTGATATGACTAGAACTTTGCTTTTGGAACTATTAATAATCATACTGTTGCGGAGGAGTTCTTTCTGCCATTCTACAAGGGCCTGCTAGAAAAATAATGTTAAACAACCCATAATATTGCCACTTAAGGCTCCAAAACTTCACATTTTGTTAACAGAACATAAGTATATGTTTTAAAACATAACATAAAACATAAAGATCACACTTGAACTTGTAATCTTAAAAGTATCAGGATTTTCATGAAAAGCTTACTTCTGATGATATAATAATGGGCCCTTATATCAAATAAATTGAAAAAGTTTCATAAAAAGCTACCGCGATCATCTAATAATGAACCTCAATATTGAAGAAATTTGATAAGCCAGTGGTTATTTTTCACCATTATGAATATATTAGTAGATTGAAAAAGGGTAATAGTGCAACTCATCATTCTAAAAGTAATTTAAGACGTATTGAAATATGGTAAAAATCCATTTTAACTGTCAGAGTGTGACTTTAGAAATACTGAAAGATTTATAAAAAAGAAACTCTGTTAGTGAAGAAAAATCATTCCAATTACAGGAGAGGTTTAACTTTAACCACCATTGTTATCTTAAAACTTAGTTTTTGTTGAATGAGTGATCTGAACAATAGAATAATAATGAGTCACTAATATTATTAAATGCATGTTTATCTGCTCGAGAACTTTCATTAAATATTTATCTTTTTTGCCCTGATTACATTTGCAGAATAAGTGATATAGGAGAAATATATTTTTTTGTATGTACCATAAATTATCAAGAAATTCTCAACAATATACACAATTGGCGAAGCTATGTACTTTAGTATGACTATGTTGAAGAATCATTTTATTTTATAAGCAATAATCTTACCATCCTTGAAATTATTTTTTCAGTTTAATGATAAAGCAACGAGACTCAGCTATATATCTATAAATCCATGGCAATTGTGGTATCTAAGAGAATATTGTTAAAATTAGAATAATGGTAAATTTTAGAGCCTTAAATGTCTCCATGTTCGCATCTAAATAGATTGCTTCTAAGCTCAGCAACTTTCAGCAATAGTTAGGTTTTGCCATATACATCATATATTGTTTACAATAATTATACCTTCAAGTAAAAAAATGTATAAATAAAAATAAGTATAATTGATTATCTTAATTAGTTTTAACAATAAATAGTTGTTTATTCCTTCCAGAAAATACTTAAAACAACCAGAGAGATGCTAAATATATCACACAAATTCTTTTTTCTCTCAATTATTTTTGATTAAGAATTCTCCTTGTTTGAAGACATTTCTGTCCCCAAAAATAGTTGTTGTTTTTTTCAATTTTTCTCCATATTCTATGCTTAATACAGAGATCGCCTTCTCAGGAAGAGATATTTGTGACTGTTCTTCATATAAGTCCTCAAGCATTTCACTGTCAGTAAGTAAATGTGCTACAGTATCTTCTCTGGTTGCACATAAGGGGCATCCTTTTTCTTCTTGAAAAGAAAAGACATGAGCGTTTGCATCTCAATCTGTTGACTTACTGGTATTGGTACTGTTTGGGGAAACTAGTCAGGCTAGTCAATAAAAAGGTCAACGGTAGTCCTTTTTGCCAACCACTGATGGCTACGTTGAGGTTGCCGCTACATACTTACGAGAGTGGGAATGTCAAGATTCATTTCCTGTGACCGCCAAGGAATTATTAACTGACCCAAGTGGGAATCGAGCCCACAATGTTTAGATTTTGCTCGCCATCCCTTCCTCTACATAGTTAACTCACCTGTGCATTAGTTTTGAAACTTCCTACTTTTTTCAATAATATTACAGTTGTCTCTTCTTTTCTTTTGAAACCTCATTTATCCCTTTTCCAATTTTGAGAAGTGGAAAAGGGATTTATACCACCATATTTTGTATTTACTGTAGATTATGAATAATGTTATTATTAAATACTGTCTTTTTTAATAACAAAAATAATGAGAGATGCTCAATTTTTTTATATGTTGTTTAAATTCTGACTAATAGGAATAAATGAATTTTTTCTTTGTCTTTTGTTCTTATTTATTAGAATTTTATTTTATTTTTTTCCAGGGCAATCATAGCGAATTTTTAACTCTAGTCTCTCTCGACACAGATCCACCACAAGTCTGCCATGGAGCAGGAGCAACAATAGATCTTTCCCATGAACAGGTGAGTTATATAATATTTCATCCAATTTTATAAGTACAATAGGTTAGTTGGTACTTGTCAGATAGCCGACCGGGACCGACTGCTATTTGCCAATGTTTATAACCTCAACACTGATAATTCTGATAAGGCACTGATAAGCCTTCTCATAATTCCTATTTTCGTATTCATATTTATTGTTTTATATTATTATTGAAATTAAAAAAAAAAAAAGTAATAAAAAAAAATTGTTATTTTGCGACATATATATTAAATTAATGTATACATCTGATAAACATGTATATGTAGGAAATGTGACAATTCCCACAACAATCAGAAAACACTTTAATTTACATATATAAGGCATAAAACATAAATAAGGCGTATACATATATAACGCATGAAATGGACAAAAATGAATGTAATAATAAAAGAAATGAAATAATAAAAAACCACTTAAAGAACATATGCACATATAAAAGAAACAATATAAACGACATATGTACAATTTATTTTCACTTCATCTTATTTATTTTGGTAGGCAAAATAGTTTGATGCTATTTAAAATAGCGAGGAACGTATATGAAGACGGTAACGGGCCAAAAATAAAGAATTTAATAACTGAAAAATAAACAATGTAATAACTGAAAGGTTTGGCAAGATAAGAAGAGGGAAGTTGTGTAAGGTAACGTTCGATAACAAGGGAGGTTTTCCCGCCCGGTCAACGGACAAGTACCGTACTGTAGATAATACAGTAAAAAATAAAAACTCTGTAAAAAGTTTGTCATTTATAGAAGAAATTTCTGTCTTCTTCTTTCATCTTTTGCTGTGTAATTTAACTGTTCAATAAATATTTATTTTAGCCACGTGATAAGCTTTTCAATAATGGATTTATACCCTTTTATTGGAAAGTTCATTTATAAAATATTAGCTGTTGCCATCAAATTAGTTCACTTACTCTTAATTTAACTAACTAACCCCCCAGTCCCAAAAGCCAACATGATCCTAGGTTTGTGCAATGTAGAAGGCATCCAACATATGGAAAAATTAAATTTGTATAATATTTTGATAAGGTTAGTTTTATACAATATTAGACTATATTAAAAAAATTAATTTAAATTGATCTGTGTTATCTATTTCTTGTTTGTTTCTGTTGAATTTCAACCAGGTTTTTGTAGTCCTGATTTCCCTCCTAAACTTTGTTTATTTAGAAATAATCTGTCACATAGACAATAATTATAGTGATACATGAACACATTCACATCATATATACAGAAAATATAAAATTAACAAAAGTAAAATAATAATTAACTAAATAATAATAACAAACTATGTACAATAAAAAATAAATAAAATACCCTAAAGATAAGTAAATTAAAAACATAAAACCACAGTCATACCTATATACAATATATAGTTACGTAAACTTTAAAGTTGTGTAAATGATCACCTTTTTGGGTCGGTTATTGTTGAAGGGTAAGACTTTGATGTAATTACTAAACGTCAGTCATATTCTTTTGTTCTGACTGCCGGAAAATGACAATTTTGATTACACCGAGCCAACAAAAAATTGAATTTTTTCAATAGATTTTTTCCATACATTTTATGATTGAAAGCTTACAGGTTAAGTACAGTATGTACATGCATAATGTTCTGGGAATTGTTTAAGTTGGTGATTTTTTTGTTGTTACGAAGAGTCAAATAGGCAATTCGCAAATGTGGAACTCTAACTCATTTTTGATGATCAAAACAGGACATCAAATCCGCGAATGTTGTGTGATTACTTTTCGAATACAGCTTCTCCCGATGATTTTTTCACAAACGAAAAATTATTAACCTTGATATACAGGTAAGTGTTGAAAAAATGAAAATGGCGAGCTATATGGAACATATGGTTTAAAATATCTCAGAAACTAAAAATCGGACCTGCCTAGTGTAAGCGAGGGAAATGTTCAGCATTTCATTCTCTTTATAATGAGCTATTATTTATAATTTATATTTCATATTATTAATATCACCTTGTTGATATTTTCACTTCTATCGTGTGGTCTAAACAACACACCTTATTTTTTTACTCATTTACAATAATTATTATTTTTTTGTTTTTAGGCTGCTTTAAATGCTCTTAGATCTCTTTCTAAGGTAGGTCTTGATTCGATCACGCCTGCAAAGAAGGAAGCCACAACTACACCCCAGCCAGTACCAAAACCTGAACCTGGGTAAAAAAAAAAAATACTTTTAAAATTTTATTTTTGATATTTTTCTCACCATCATTTTTATTTTTTTTAACGGACATTTTTAATTTCAGGCTGTTTATTGATCTCAAAGAGGAAACACCTTATGTTAATGGGAAGTGAAAGATACGTTTTATTTTAATATTGTAAAAAAAGAAAAAAAGATTCCTTTAGTTTTAAATGTTTATTTAACACAAAAATTTATTTAAATACGTTATTAATAAATGATAATACAATAAATATCAGAGAGATCTGACATCAATATTTCGATTACTGTGAATTAATTATTGCTGGTCATATTTTTTTATTATTATTGTTATTTTGTTTTAGTTATTATTATTTTTTTTTTTTTGTAATATTTTGTAAATGAATATGACTGATGAAAAGAAAAACATAAATACAGGCCACTTATAGCATTGAAACGGTTTCAATCTGTTGTAGATTCTGATATGTTTATTAATTATTATGGGAAATATAGATGAAAAAGTTTATTATTAGTACTAAACCGAGTGTTACAAGTGGGCCTCGATTTAATTTTTTTTTTTAAATATGTAATGTTTCGCCAGTTTTGTCGAAATAGTCGCTATTTATATATTTCATCGCAGTCTCTAAATGCACTTATAACATCATCTTCTTTAGCGACGCATTTTAAGGTATAATTTATAAAAAAAGTTGCGATATGCAGCTTAAAGTATTATGATAAAAACAATTAATGAAAAGAGAAAAAAAAAGTAGGGTTTTATTAGATATTAGGACGTATTTGTTAACACTATTACTCTTTCTTATTGCAAGCAGCAGTTAATGTGTATGTAAGTTTTCGTTTTTTTATATATTGTATTATAATATAAATATATATAAGTGTATTTACTAAGATAACCAAATAAAAAGTTTATCAAGCTTACATAAACATTATCAATGCTGTAGGAACGCAGAAAAAAAAAAAAATACATACACTTTTTAGATTTAGGTCCCTGAAATATTGAAAGAATTTTTTTGTTAATTCTCTATGTTTGTCCTTTCTATAATCCTTATTAGTGCATATGGTTGGTGTTAGTTTCTCTGTATATTATATATTATATAAATATAGATATGTATGATTATATTTCATTTTTGGCTAATTTTTTTGAAAAAAAAAAAAAATTCTTGTTATATTCAGGATATGCATGATGTAAGAACATGTTTTGCCTTTTTTTAAATTAAAAAAAGTATTTTCTTTTACTCTTTTAAGAGCGTTTGCGTTTTGCTTGATTACATTGTAATGGACTTGAGCTAAACGCTCTGTCGCTCGTTTATTTTCTTTTATATGTCTAATCACAGAGTGTTTTGTCTTTTTTTTTTCACTTTCCTGATATTTGTATATCATTACAATACTCAGTGTATACTTTGTTATAAACGAAAGATGTTTTGGGTGTTAATCAATACATTAGTTAGAAGCATTGTGTTTTAGGTGCATTGAGACATATTGCTATGGTGTGTGATTTATTAATTATAGTTATATTATAGATATGTATACAATTTTTAGAAATTGTTATCGACGAGAGAAATAAAAAAAAGTATAGAAGGAAAAAATTTTAGTTGTCATATTGTAATATTGTTCTTCTAAAGAAATTATCAATAAATCACCAACCAAATTTGTTATATTTATTTCCCATTGGCATCCTATATTCGACAGCTTAGGTCCAATTGTTTACAGGCTTTGAATATTCTAAAAATGGTTAGCAATCACAACTGGGGAGCTGACAGAATCAATGTAATTCGATTATATAAGGTACTTATGCTATAAATAGTTTTAGTATTTAATTTATTTACTTTGTTTGGTACGGTTAATTTGTTTTTGAAAGAAATTTAGATTTAAAATATTTGGGTTTGTAATTTGCACACAGTGACTGCTGATTTGGTCAATGTTACCTAGGAATGAATTGTAACTTTTACAACCCAAGACAAGTTTTACCAAAAGAAGGTCTGAGGACAATATTTTATTCAATACAATGTAGAAGAGTTCATATTCCCTCGAGTGGAATAGAATTATAAAAATAATTATATTAATCCTCAACTCCTAAATTATTAATATTTCAGGAAGAGGAATTTTGTGTTAATAAAATGAAAACAATGAAAATATTTTGTATTGAATACAATAAAGAGGCAATTTTATTCTCTAGAAAAAGAAACAAAATAGAAGAAAAAAAAGAGCTAAGAAAAGAATGAGACCTTTTAGATTGGGCCACAGAGAGCTACGACCAGTTCATCTCATCCTTCTTGCGTATGCCTACGATATTGTGGTATTCGGGAACAACGGAAGAAACCATCGAATCCTTCAGGAAGAATTAGAACTGTTTAACATGGAAATAAACAGCCGCAAAATAAAAATAATGAAAGAAAGGGGAGAACGAGTACTTCGATTGAAGGGAGAGGAACTCGAGCATGTCAAAGACTAAGTATCTGGAAGCCCATCTAAACGTGAACGGTTGGATAGATAGCAAAAGAATAAGACTGACCAGCAAATGCTTTCATTCACAAAAAACAGGCCTCTTAGCAAAGAGAGGCGTCAAGAAGACTGTGTATGTTGTATTGTGTCAGTATTGTCCCCGTACTGACCGGCAGTGAATCCTGGACTATAATCTTAAAACATAAAAGCAATGGAAATGCAGTTTCTGAGAAGAATAGAGGAAAAAACTAGGAGGGACAAAATCAGGAATACAACAATAAGAAGCAATTTGGGAATATAATCAGCAGAAAACACAATAGAGGAAACAGGATACATTGTTATGTTATGTCAAAAGAATGGCCAAAACTATATGAAGTAAAAGTGGAAGGAAGAATGACGAGAGGAAGGCCCAGAAAGACATGGGAAGATTGAGTCAGGGAGGATTTCAAAAGGAGAGGAATGAACTGGAATAGACGCAGTCAGCTGGTGCAAGAACAAGATAAATGGATGAGGCTCTATAAACAGGATCCTCTACACTGATCTAGCGGTAGAAGAGGAATTGATTAAGAAGAAGAAGAAACAGTTATAGAGTTGAAGAATAAAATTCTTAAACCTCACTTGTTACTGATCAGAATCCCCACTACAATTTTTTGGGCTTGATCCACAATATTGGTCAAACGACTTCCCTTAAGTGTGGATGCCCCATTTTTTACTTTTCAAACACTTCACAAATTGTTAGACAAACAATTCATCACTAGTGTGGAACTGGTGCAAGGCCAATAAGGTAGAACTCATAAATAGACTTTGTCTTAAATAAAAATTTATATTTTATATTAAATTACATGAAATATAAAATTTTAAAAAATACACAGCTTTACAAAAATATATACATTTATATATATACAAGTTATAAATATTTACATTTTCATTAAATTATCATACAGAAGGGACAATAATTAATTTCCTATGATTACAAATTTTGAAACTTGAGTGCTACATGGTACATTCATATAAAATGTACAATGATAAATTATAAAAAAACAATGAAGGGAAGTTGTAGTTGCTTAAAGCTTAAAGACTGACTGCAAAAGTAAATAATTTTTAATCAGATTTTACTGTATATAAATAAATAAAAATGAAATATTTTGTTTGCAGACAATAATTTATTTTGACAATAAGCCAGTGATTATGAAAATGTTCTAAGTATGCAAATTTTTATAAATTATTTAATTGTTTTAAATTTTTATTCTGCTTTGAACCATTGTGAATCAAAGTAATAGATTCCCGGGTTGCCATTAGAATAAAAAAATTATTATTTTGAAAAAATGAGTTCAATTTTAGCAATAAAATAATATTACATAGTTGCTGAGTTGAAACACAGACTTTAAAAAAGTTGTTGAAGCATATATTCAAGAGGCATTGTCATCTATCTATTAAGGCAAATTTATCAAAATTAGATAGTGTTTATTAAATAGATTTATATCACTAGTTAAATAAGATGTTTTAGCCCTGACTTTGAGTTTTATTTATTTTTTTCTAACTTGTACTTTATTTCATGTAATATTAAATAAATTGTCTTCATCTTTATCTTTTGGTTACAAATGAAATATGGTCAAGTTATTTATCTTATCGAAACATCATAATTTATATTAAAAAAAATAATAATAAAAATTGTATAAGCTTCAAAATATTTTTGTTGGATGAAAATTTTTTTTTATATTTTGCCTTTATTATATATATATTTTAATAAAAAAAATTCCATGTTATGGAAACTTTACTCTAGTTTCATTTTCACTGGCTCAAATTAATGTTATAAAATTATTATTATGACATATTTACAATAATATTAAATCACATCAACAGTTAAATGAGACACTCATGTAAATAATAAATAACAGTAATTTTAAAAATTCATAAACAATATTTTGAACACTCTTTGGGGAGTTCGCTTTGAAAATTATATTAATTTCTCATTTTAAATTTTCCTTTGTAATTTGTTATACATTTTTTTGACAATACATTCTTTACTTATATTTTAAACTTTGTTTCCTTTCTTTTATCACATATTTTGTATTTTGATTGATTTCATCAGAGTAATTAACATATGACTTATTTGAAAATTTATCCTAACATTTAGGATTATTTAAATAATTAAAGGGTTCGGCAAAATAATGGTATTTGTTACATTTTTGTAAAATCCGGTTTTCACTGAATTAAGTTCGAAATAGTTTCCATTACATACTCTTAATTTAAAGTAACGGCATACCATAAGAGGTTGAAGTAGAAAAAGGGGTTAGAGTTAAACTTTTATTGTTATGTGAAATAAAAAATATATATAGACCAAAATTTGGTCGAACCCTTCAAATGCTTTGCCAGATATAGTTGTTTTGTCTCATAGATTACCAACTATATTGTTATCACAATTTCAGCTTTTGCTTTGTAACTTGATTATAATAAATTATCATCAAAAGCCTATTTTCTATATCAAGAAGAACTGTGGTCCTACCCAAGAACCACACGTAGGAAAATTGTCAGGAACAGGAGGGAGATCAGTCTTACCGCCAACTTTGAGGACAACGTCCAGACCCTTCGCCCACTCTGAGGAGCTTTGCTCATGGAGCAACCAATAGCCTGAAAAAGAATCATTTGTTGAATTTAGATAAATTAAATAATTAGTATTGTATCCCAATATATCATTCTAATTTTCTGAAATAGATGTACATTTATTAACAAATTTTAGATTATAGTTAGATTTTTACTGTCCTGAACTTATTAATATTTTAATGTATTTATGTAAAATCCTTATGTGAAACTGGAGAGGATATTGTAGCACATTCGGTTACTGGCTTGTGAATACTTAAAGATTTGTATGAGGAACAGCCAGAGAGAACTTGTGAGAAGCTGATTTTACTAAGCATGAAAAATGAAGAGACTTTGAAAAAAACTTATTTTTTGATCAAAGGTGTCTTAAGGCAACTTTTTGGTGAAACATAATTTAGAGAAAAAAAATTAATTATAATATCCATGTGAGGAGTTGATCGGGGAAGGGGGGGGGTGCGGTCAAATTAATACTAAATTAAACAAGTATAATTATTTAATTTTTGCTGACGTTTCGACCTGCTTTGCAGGTCTTCATCAGGGCGTAGGTTCATAGGCGTAGGTCTTCATAGGGGCAGGTTTCAACTGCCTCCCGCAGTGCTACATCCTACGACCTGATGAAGACCTGCAAAGTGGGTCGAAACGTCGGCAAAAATTAAATAATTATACTTGTTTAATTTAGTATTAATTTGAACGCACCCCCCGATCAACTCCTTCTCATATTATATCAACGGTCAACCATCTCTACATCATTATAATATCCATGCATTCACCAACGAAAAAAATTATTAAAAAAGTTTGTATTTTATTACCTGGGTTATTAGCTTTAAATCTTAGTGCTACTGCACCTGAACGAGGCACAGTAATTGTATCTTTGATGACAGGATCAATCAAGTTTCTTTCCTTCAGTAACAATCCTTTTTCATCGAGTTTCTTTAGTTCTGATACTGGAAGAGGTGGAATATTTTTAGCTAAAGAGGTGACGTAAAAGCTCTGTCCATGTAGATGAAAAACATGATCACTAATATCAGAAAGAGTATCTGAAAAGAAAATATTTAAATTATTGTGCGAAGAACTATACACACATGTACCATATATAATAAAAGATGCTTAATTAAAAATAAAATACTCCAACCCAGGATTAAGAGAATAGTAGTATAGTGCCTTATTCACTGTGCTACCCCGTTCCCTTAAAGATATTATTAAATTAATTATAATTTTGAAAGAGAAGAAAGCAGAGTGAAAAATAAAATAAGTACATAGCTAGTATATCATTTTTATATAACTTAATTTTTTCAATTATTATCTGTTATACAGTGTAACAAAAATAAAAGTTTTAAAGTTATCATCATATTTTAAGACTAAGGCTTGTTGTCTGAATTCTTGGCATAAGAAGTGATTATAACATGATAATTTCTGTCTTTCTTTTTGAGTTTTTGCTATCACTAATATTAATTTTAAAAGATTTGCTAACTTATATTGAATAAGTATGTTATGACACTTTACCTTTTGTTTTATTCCTTCTTGTGAACTGTTTAAATTGACTGAGACTTCTAAAATTTCAGTTTACTTTAAATTTAATTTATAATAGTTTCATAGCACATGTATCTTGTTTTCTATTTTAATTTAATATATCTATTTAACTTAAAATATTCAACTGAGCCATGGAGAAGATAAAAAGAACATCACAGGAAAATGGAAGGGTCCACGTCGCAATGAATCATAAAATCCTTGGATACGCAGATGATATAGCTGTCCTTGAAAGTACTAAAAAGGACATTGAGAAACTCGCTACGACTCTGATAAGAGAGGCAGAGCAGATAGGCCTACAAGCAAATGAATAAAAAACAAAATAAATGATAATAAACCGAAAATTTCACTTCAATAACAGAATCTGCGTAGAAGGAAAATCATTCCCAAGAGTAGAAAAATTCAAATACCTCGGCTCCACAATAACCTCAATGAATGACCAATGGGCAGAAATAGACCAGTGTATAACTGGCGCAAACAGAGCTTTCTTCTCCCTTTCAAATGTATTGAAATCCCAAAAAATCTCAAACTAAAGGTGTACAATACTATGATAAAGCCAGTTCTAATATATGGCTGAGAGACCAAGATACTAACCAATACCCTAGAAAAAAGTGTTTAAAGATTTGAGAGAAGAATCCTCCACATGATAACCGGAGCGGTCTGGGATCAGAGTACTAACACATGGAGAAGAAAGACCAATAAAGAACTGCTTACAGAAAATGGTCAATCGATATCCCATGATATGAAGGCCCGAAGATTAAGATGGGCGTGGCATGTATCTAGTAGCAATCCATCTGGAAGCCTCTAAATAACAATTAATGCCTTAATAGAAGGCAAAAGACCACGTTAAAAAGCAGATAGATAGATAGAATCAACAAAGATGCAACAGAGCTGAATGCAGATAAATGGAAAGAAATAGCCCAAGACAGGCAGAGATGGAGCAGGCTTGTTAAGGCGGCAAAACATCTACATGGTCTGTAATGCCAACAGAAAAAAAAAATCTATTTAACTTATATAAATATAACCAACTCCCTGATTCTCTGGAATAAATATTAATTTTGTCTAATTAAAAACCTATAGAAATATTACACTATCGAAGTTCCACGTGATTCAGTAGAAATTTTCTTTTTTTTAATTGACAGTGGCATAGCCTTTATTTTCTGTCAGTAATATTTTCAAAATATGACGACAAAGTTTAGTTTTAAATTTTTAATAAAAGCATCGATGAGCAATAGGAGTATCTTTTATGTAAAACTATTGAATATTATCACTATGGAAAAATGAGGATTAAGAGTGAGAAGTACAATAAAATGGATCCTCAACTGATTTGTTAAATGACACAGCATACTAGTGATCAGTCTTATCGATAATGAAAACAATATGAAATGGATTTTAGTATGGCAAAGATGCCCATCCCCCCCATATCCCATGGTCGATGGCGCAAGAACCTACCTCATGTCCTCCAAAAATATTTTATTGCTCACCTTTTCTTAAAAACAGAGCAAGCTAAGATAGAAATAGAAAAATCGTAGATCATATTCAATTACACTTGCTATGGCATGTATATCCATATTTTTCCCCTTGTGCTTTAGTCCGAAAATTCATAACTCTGTCGAAATATGCCCACCTCAAAAATTTTTATGCCCCAACTTGTGCCATGGAACCCCCTTCTGGGCACCTCTATAGAATGGTACTTCTCTCAAAACATTAATTGGCTCAGTTTTGTACTCTTGAAGTTAGTACATAGCAAACTATCTATCGCCTTTCTTAGGTCAGAACACACCTTTGGCTTCCAAGGACCTTAAGACATTACCATGCTCAATGCTGTTAAACGCCTCGATCACGTCCATGAAGGCGACAGCTGAACCTCTTGTTTGCTCTAGGCATCCTTGAGAATAGAGAATACCATCATTGAGCTTGCATTTATATGACATCCAGATTGACCAATAACAAAGGCTCTCTGGTTTGGTGAAATGATATCGGTTTTCTTAGCTCGTGGTCAAAAATCTTTTCCATGATATGCCTTATAATGGGATAAACTGTTATGGATATCCATGAGAAAATCGCTAGAACTCTTACCTTTATAAATCAAAACTGGGCACCCACAACGAAGAACATCTTGGACATGATTGAATTTCAGAATGATGTCCATTATCGTTTTAATTATATGCAAAATTTTCAGTTTTTTTACTGTTCTTATAAGAATCTCCACGAGGATCTAGTGAAATGTTTAAGGATATATTATTTACTTACGATGGGTGTGTTAGATACATCTAGCCTTATAAATCAAATAAGTGATATTCACTCACCTTGATTAATTAGAATGATTTCTACGGTAGATTGTAAAGGAATGTTGATGACATGAGTACATTCACAGATTGGAGACGATTCTGAACATTCTTTTGTATTTCTTTGACCGCAGACGATCCCTTCGCTGCCTTCTGGAACCCCTGGCTTAAGATGGGAGATGGAGGGAACATGAATGTTATGTTGTTCATCCTTGGTCTAAGCTCTCCTGCGAACAAATAAATTAATATTTTTAATAATAGTTCATAGGAATTTTAGTATTAATATAATAACTGTATAATATAATATTTATTAAGAATTATCATGAGATGGATATAGTAAATCATTGATGAAATCAAGGGGATGGTCAGAGATATGGCGAAAATAAAAAACAAAGTAATGAAATATACTGTTTGATGAAATAGTAATTCTATTTCTTATGATAAGTTATAAAAAAAATCGAAGGGAGATTACTTTTTTACATCTCCAAGCTCACATCTTGTTTTCAAACAACAAAACATCTTTAAAAAATGAATTTTCTGCTTTCCTATGTACCAATGGATGAAAATTTGTTATTCAACAGGTCCACTATCACTTATTTGTATATTTTGTCATTTATAGGACATCATGTATAACGATTAGCAATAAGGAAACAAAAGAGGGGTTCCTTCAATGTATCTAATATAATCATAAAAATATTTAAAGAGGTAATATTATAGTCTGTGGTACAGACCCCTTGTTATCAAATTATTAACATCTGCCTGAAAATTATATGAAAATAGCTTCATCTCATACAACTATTATATTTATGAAAACTCTTGGAATTGGGGTGTTTTCAATTTGGAGGTCGGAAAACTTTGTTTATTTAATTAGTTACTAAAAACCCGTATGTATTTAAATATAGAAAATATCCAATATAAAATATTTGTAGGTTACGATGAGATGAAGCTATTTATGAAATTTCAGATGGATGTTAATAACTTGATAAAAAGGGGTCTGTACCACGGACTATTAGATATATAATTGAACAAAACAGTTCATATAAATATCCATCCAATTACATAAAAAAAGCTGAAAATTTTAGTTTTGTGTTTTATTATTACTCTACTCCAGTACCGACAACTAGAAAATATTGTCATTCATTAAAGGAAGTAGAAAGCAGCTGTATCATGCAAATTTTTTCATAAAGTAATGGATAATTTGTGATTTTTTAAATCCATCTCCTGCAGGGCGACAAGTACAGGTAAATAAAAGTTTTTGTTTAACAAGCTTAAGGTCCATGCTAATTAAGATGAGGCCTCTTACAGATTTGTCTCAATTTATTTTTAAACGATAGGGAATGATGTGCGAGAATGTTAAGGTGTAAGTTAGCAGCCTCGAGTTAGGCCTTTGTTATTGTTAGATTAAGATTTTGTAGGATATATTTAATCATTTTGTGGCAGACCAACACATGAGAATATTGATCCTTCCAATTTGGCTAGAATTGGTTGATTGTAGGATAACCACCATATATGCCAGAAATGGCCAGGAAGAGGGAAAAAGAATAAAAATGTTTGATGTGAATTTCTGTCTCCTCAAAGTTCAAGTATTTTCAACAAAAATAATTACTATATAAAAATTAATTTAGCATCAATACATAAAACACTCACTGATTCCAGACATTCCAGCAGCTAAAAGAACATAGTCGAAAGGAAGGTACAATTTTATGTCGACCTGTTTCTGAGAGAGATCTTCTGGAATCTTTTTCAATGAACTCATGTGGGAGAGACATATTGCACCGTTTCGATCACACTCATCATTATACACAGTGCTGACCAACTGAAAATTTTTTACTTTTACAATAACAGTTTTTATTTAAAATAAAATTATTTAAAAGGCCTAAATACCATACCCTGTTTATCGGGAAAGATTCTGTCTGTGGAATATGCTGTGGTACATGTTTAGCACCATTCAATGTAGTGCTATATTTAATTTTTGCTAAACCAAAGGATTCAGTGCAGTTGGATTCCACCTGTGCCAGATAAGTTTGGGGTTCATTTGATGCCTCTAAAATAAAGTCTATTCTCTCCCCTGAAACAATTTTAAGAGGTTTAAAAAATGAGAAAGTTATTTTTTATTAATAGTTATATGAATGTATATGATGGAATTATTTGAGTCTTTTATTTCCAAAGTGAACCCTAATCATTTTTAACAATTTTTCATGAAACGTGAAAAACTATTATATTCCAATTTTTTTTTGTTTAAAAAAAAATATATTTATTGAAATTTACAACTATATTACATGGCAAATACAACAAGTAAAAATGAATACAGTGAGATGAAATATACAACATGAAGAGAAACTACCCATTGGTAGCACTCCAATTATAGCTCTATATTAGAAGGTCCCGAGGCCATCTTCTTTTTAGAAGCCTTAGATGGTTCAGAAGTTTATTATGGAAGGACATGTGTCTGGAATGAGCTAAATAGAAAACATATGGTACCTTAAGGTCATTATGGATGATTTTATTTGTGACCAAATAAGGTGCATTAAGGATTTTGCGAAGGATTTTTGATTGTAAGGATTGGATACGAGAGGAATTGGATGGTTTAGTACCGACCAAAGCTCGATACTGTAAGTTCAGATAGGTCTTATTATAGCAATATATATGAGTCTTTTGTAAATAAGTGGAAGTTTAGAGCGTTTGTATAGTAAGTGCTATAGTAGTTGAAAACGTCGAGCAGTTTCTAGTTGTTTCAGCCTGGTATGAGGATTCCAAGTTACACGTTTGTCCAAGGTATCGGATTTGTTCAACAGGGATAAGTGGGGCATTGTTAAAGGATACTGTAGGACAAGAAGTCATAGGTTTACAATGAAGGGTAAAGATAATTTGATGGGATTTATTGGAATTTATTTTAATTCTGCAGTTTTGACACCATTCTTCAAGACTTGTAATATGTGATTGAAGAGTCATGGATGCAATTGATGGGTCGTTATTAACTGATAGGATACACGTGTCATCGATATAGGTGGTGATGACAATGTTGGGATGGGTTGAGATGTCAGCTGTATAAACTGTATAAAGGATAGGATCTAGGATACTACCTTGAGAAACACTAGCAAACTAATAAAAAAGAGATGAATAAGCATTGTTGTGATTTACTTTGAAGTATCTGTCAGTAAGGTAGGAACGGCTAATGAGGAAATATGTAGGTGGTAGGAATTTACGGATTTTGTACATCAGTCCCAGGTGCCAGACCCTATCAAACGATTCCCATTGTAATATCAAAACGAAGTAAGTAAATAAATTGAGAAATTCTTTATTTGTGAAAATTTGAAAAGACAAAAATGGAGTAAAATTCAGGGGAAATAATGTGTTAAAGATTGTACAATAAAAAATGAACTATTTGCTTACAACAATGGCACAATATAAAATTAATTAAAATATTTCCTTTATTAACCTTAAATTTCTGATAATTAGGAATATATTGTCTGTATAAGCACATATTTGCACCATTGTGTTAAGTATACAACCAGGCGAATCCAGTTTTTTCAAAACATTATTAAGTGCAATATTAAATAATGTGGCAGACAAAGCATCCCCTTGCATAACCCCATATTTTTCGTTTAAATAAAACAATTTGCTTGGATTGTTAAATAAAACTTTGGAAATTAGTGAATCCTAAATGGCTCATTTTGTATTTCTATAAGTTAATAAAAAAAAAAAAATGGTTTCAGTTTAGTTTAAATTTTGTACTTTAAAACATAAACTTTGATTTTTTTTTTTTAATTCAAACATGAAATATTTAGATTTATTTTCTTATGGTTTTGAGAATTAACTCATCCAAAATTGCTATGTCTTTTTAGAAAATATAAAATAATAAATAAAAATTAGTTTATGTATGATTGAGATAATTAATTATATATATTAAGTACGTAGCACACGATAACTTACCTGTTATACTTAAATTACACCATTGAACCATACTAATTACAATTGTACTTACATTTACGTGGAAATGTCAAAAAATTAAATAAATAAATATACTGGATCCGTGACGAATGATTCTCTTAAAATTTTATTTAGCGAGTACAGAGAAAATAATTGATTTACCTTGTGCAATTTTTATAACAGAAGTCCGGATTGGCTGAATATCTGCACCGTCGAGAACTACAACTAACATCGTATGGTTTTCAATTCTGAAATAAAATGGGCAACCTTCAGATCCACCTGCATGGGCTATTCTGATTCTATATCTGAAACCTTCGTCAACTACTAATGTCGGAGCCAAGTCATCCTGAAAAAAAGAAAATGATCATATAATTTTTACAATATTTAGAAACTATATTTGGAATGTTTGATTAACTTTGGAAGGATAAATTCGATAAACAATAAGTTTCTCATTATTATTATTGACTTTATGATTGTTTTTAGATGTATCAAACATGCAAAATAATTATTACTAACTTTTTTTTCATATTTTTTTTTACCTTTTTTTCCTTTTTTTTTTTTTTTTTTTTTTTTGTTTTACATTTTATTCTAAGATTCCCATTGTAACACTTATGTCACCCTTTTTGATTATGCCTACTTCATCATTCCACACTTTGTAACGGTTATTATTATTTATCTCTTAGTTCTTAGTCATTATTCTAACAATTTCATTTTACTTTATATTTATTTATTTTATTTTTATTTTAATTTTTTTTTGTAATTTTTTATTTATTTATTTTTTACCATCACTACTTATGTTTCTCATACCTTGTTATCTGGTTATTTTCTTAGCCCTGAAGAAGGCCTGAACTTCATGTCGAAACGTCGGCATATGTAAAAATAAATATTATCATTTATTTTTGCCTTCTTTTTTGATTGACCACCCCAACTATTCTTCTCTTCATTATTACTAACTTTATTTAACCAAGGTTGTTACAGATTAACAGAAAAAAATCCCCAATTTTTCCAGATTGGTAACAATCAGATTTTTTCTAATCATTAATTTCTTTTTTTCATCATTTAGAAAAAAGTATTATGAGAGTTAAAATTCAACTAGTAAGCATTATGCAAGAGAAAACCTCAAGTTTGTTTTTAAAGATAATCACATTTTTCTTTATCGCACCCACTGTGTTAATTAAAGTTTCATAATAATAAATACTAAATATTATTAGACTAAGATAAATCAGAAAAAATAGTAAATTTTAATGTTAGCACAATTACTCTAACTGTGGTTTTAAAACTATTCAAATTGTCTCTTTTTTTTTTTTTGTGATTCTATATCTGAAAATTATACTCTGAATTCATCAAATAAATCTTATTAATGAAGCATTTTTAGGTATAAAAAGAATCAATAAAAAGTTTTAAGTACATATAATCAGCAAAAGTGTGAAATCATTACTCACAAATTTCAACTTTTCAAAGAAAGATATAAAACATAGTAGCCAAGCAGGCTAACTAACACATGTGTGCACACCACCGAGTGTTCCTGGCAACCTGATAACCGAAGTTATAAAAGACAATTGCGAGTTCGTGTCCCGGTGCCAAGGGGGTCTTTTAATTTGGCATTAAGCCCCACCCTCACCTCCTGGTCCAGGAAAACCCCCATATAGTCTAAAAGGCAAGAAAGCAGAGAGAAAAAAAAAACTTATGGGTTTAATTAATAAAATACTATTCTAGTTTATAAAATACTATTTATAAAAAAAAAAAATGTTTACATTGGAGTGATTAAATTTGATTCCTGCCCTTCAATAATTTAAATTATTTGAAGCTACAAAGACATTTTGTGTAGAGAAACATCAACAGTGATTGTTTCAAAGCAAGGAAACTATCTGGAATATTGAAAAAAAGAAAATGGCTGTTTATTCAATTATCGATCAGTTTAGAAGAAATAATTTGTATTTGCCTTTCACTTTTTTTTAGATAAAATGATTTGCTAATTATTTTATATTTACAATCATTTTACAGACTAATGATTAAATTCATTTATTTATAAACAACTAGAAAGAAAAAACAATAAAATTTCTATATTTTTCGGCCTAGTTCCCTGACTTTTTCTGGTAACCCTGGAATTTAAGAGTCTGAAACAGCCCTGTTTAACTCACAGAAAGAAGTAAAAAAAACAACAGTAGTATCTGTTAAATACTTGAATTAATTTAACAATTAATTTTAAGTCAGCAATTATAAGGCCCATTTTTGTTTGATACAATTGTAGCTAAGATATAGGTTACTTAAATTTGTTAGTTCATCAAGTACTCAATTTTTTATATCAATTTCTGTTTTTGTAAGAGGTACAAGCATAAATAAAATGACTTTTATATCTCACTCGTGGAGAAGAAACACCATTCACTAAGATGCTGGAGCCCCATTCACTAAAAATTAGCGTATGATCTTTCTCGTCTTTATCATACCATCTTTTAGATTTTTCCATTCTGCCTGCTTTTCTAACAATCAGAGCTCCGAACAAATTATCTAGGACTTCATTACCTAGAAAAAATAACAGAATATTGTATAGATAAAAAATGTGGTTTATTGATAATTGCAACAGCAGCTGTAATACCTAAGTTATGAAATATAACTTTTCAATATAATGCTGTAAAATACTGAGTTTAATAAAAATTCATTATTTGACCAAACTATATACAATAGACTTCTTTACACCTTAATCAATGCGTAACAAGCTTTCTTATACCTTTTCAAAAAGCTTGTAGATAAAAAAAAGAAATTAATTTAATAGCATCAGTAATTATAAAATAAAAGCTTTTTGTGCATTAATTTATTGAATATTGTAAACAAACAAATAAGAGATTTGTATTACCTTCCTTTATTTTTAACAGTTTTTAGTTTTAAAAAATGTGAGTATTACCTGTATGAGCATGCCAAAGGTGTGTTCCAGCATGCGAAGCCCTAAATTTATATTGAAACGTTGTATAGCTGGATATAGGACACTGAGTTATCATTGGAACACCATCCATATAAGGGCTTTCTTTCTGCGATTGTCCTCGCCAGTGTATTGCTACACCTTGTCCAGGTAGCCGATTTACGACATCGACTACCAATATGTCATTCTTGCAAACCTGCAACAATTATTACAATTTATCGTTAAATAGAAGCATTAAAACAGTTAAGTGAAGTAATTAATATATTGCTTTATAATATGTTAATTAATTCACTATGACCTTTAATAAAAATCTAATTTGACCTTCACTAACATGGTGTTGGACATATAACTAACAAACAGACAAGTCGAGGCCATATTTATAGTGTGTAGTTTATTTTATTTTTCCTGTCTTTCTTAGAAATTATTCATTGAATAAGGTCCTATAAAATCTGATTCATTAGGATTATTAAAGATTAGACCCTTCATGAAAAGATCATCTTAGCCATTAGCACCATTTCCAGCTCAACTACTATCTATTAATCTCTAAATTAATTTCACAATAAACTCATCAACTCTTATATCATACTCCTCATCTCCTTCCTAATTTAATTAAATTAGCAAATGATAAGGTGACCAATTATTTTTGGCACACAGAAGTTTTTTTTTTAAATTATGAAAGATTGTATGGAAAGCAAAATAACTCTCCATAATTGCTAATGTTTAGATCCATAACCATCACTTTTGAAAAATGAAATTTTTCTTGTGCTGTTCAAGTGCTAACCATTTAAATTCAAAATACTCAAAGTCATATGCACTATGGCAGCATCAGTAATTTAAGAAGTCTAAGAATATCATAGACAATTTTAGTACATAAATAAATAAATATATAATATATATATATATATATATATATATATATATATATATATATATATATATATATATATATATATATTTATAAGGAAATATAAAATATGTATTATATAATGTATTACTTTTTTTTTACTGAACACCTCAAACAACCTTCTCTTCAATTAATATATAAAGGTTGTGTCAAATAATTGTTATAGTTCATAATTTTTTTGGAGTACAAGTTTTAAAAAGAGTACAACTCACGAAAAACGACTACAATACTTCCCAAAGTAGTATATTTAGTCACCTTTATGAGTGCATCATACAAGATTCATTAGAGTACAGTGTGTTAGATTAAAGAGACTCATTCATGAGATAGCTTTCAAAATAACAGACCTGTTTCTATGACTCCTGTCTAACTCTCTAGATATAATTAACTATAATTTTAATGATAGATTTTCTTACATATAAATTCTTTTGTTATTCAATTAAAAGAATAAATGTCTTCAGCGGAAATGACTAATAAAACAACTTAATATTTAACTACCCTTATCTTACAAATCAAATTTAATTTTATTATATTTATTTTTAAGCAACCTGGATTGAAGGCCCCGGCAGCTGTTTGTTAGCAGTTAGGACTTTTTGAGCAGATCCGTCTGCCAGAATGCAGCCATGTTTAAAGCAGTCTGTAATGTTTTGCGGGCAATTTCCACACCATCTGTAATGTAGAGTTGAATGAAATACAAAAAAGACAAGAGTTAACAAAAAAAAAAGTAAAATAAAAGAAGTATCAAATAAAATTTGGTTCGAGTAAAAGATGAAACGTTCTTAGAAATACCATCAATAATTATAATAACTTAATTATTGAGGATATTAAATGAACTCAGTATCTGAATTAAGAAAGTTTGAGAGCAATCACATGCATACTTTGTTTGTATGCACTTTTTAAACTGGTGATCAAATATTGAAGGAAGTTAGTCGACTGTTCTACATATCATGACGTAGTAATTATAAAGTTTTTATTGGTGCCGATATGTCTCTAATTCAGTTGCTTCATTAATAGGTTAAAATTAGTTATTCTCATAAGCTTTGTTATCTTTTTTTAATTCCAAAAAAGTTGCAGACTCCCCACTTCAGGCTGGTGCTCCTGGGCAAATGCCCAGTCTTAAGATAGGCACTGAGTTCTTATAAAGTATTTTACATTATATTTTTAACTAAATATAAATGTATATTTTTATTTTCAATTTTTTTTTCAGATTATGTTTTAATTATTTTGGTTAATCTCTTCTTTTGCCACCTTCTAAGTTCCATCAGCGTGGAGGAAGAGCCTCGGCCCATCTCATCCACTGATCTCTGTCACTGGCCCTCCTTCTCATATGCACCACGGTGCTGCCTCTGGCTCGCCCGAATCTCTCCTTTGCCTTTCCTCTGGTTTCGCTTCTAGAAATCATTTAGCCTTTTTGTTATCACCCATCCGGTACACATGGCCAAACCACTTCAGTTGGTGCTCCTTTACGACTTGTTTTAGAGGCCTTACATTCATTTCTTCTCTTATCATCTCATTCCCGCAGAGGTCTCTTCGTGTTTTCTCAAGAACTCTCATGAGGTATCTCATTTCTATGGCCGTTACTTTGCTTACATGTTTGTCTTTTCTTCTTTATCTCCGGTTTCCCTAATTTTGGAGAGCAGATAGAGTAAAACACACCATTGGCCTTCTTGATTCTATATAAAACCTCCTGGTCGATCCTTCCATACCTGCTGAAAATTGTGTCCAAGTACTGGTATTTATCAATATTTTTTAATAGCTCATTATTACATGTAATGAGAATTTGTTCTTCCACATCTCGGTTGACGATCATCGTCTTACTTTTTGTATGGCTAATTTCCATCCCCTTCCTCTGGAGCTCTTCCGACCATTCATTGACAGCCATCTGAAGGCTTTCCTGGGTGTTGGCAATCAGGACCATGTCATCTGAATATAGGGGAGGTTGTGCCTGCACAGGAATTAAATTCCAGTACCCCACTGTCTTTCACTTACAGATCTTCCTTACTTCATCCATGCATATGATAGTATACCAGTGGGCTTAGGCTATCATCTTGCTTGACGCATTTATAAAACCTAAATGGCTCCGATTCAGATCTGTTAAGCCACACTATTCTCATGGTATCCTGCTATACCGATTTGATTGCGCTGCTGAGATTAGATGGCACCCGTTTTTTCTGTAAAGCATTCCAAATCTCTTGGCGAAAAATCAAATCAAATGCAGCTTTCAAGTCCAAGTATGCCAAAAAATAGCCTTCTTCCTCTATCCCATGCTATCTCAACAACCATTCTTAATGAGAAAATATGAGCCTGAGTTTGCCTTCCTGGTCTAAAGCCAGTATGCTGCTCTTTCAGATCATGCTCCACCAAGGACCTAAGTCTGTTCCAATATTCTTGTACATAATTTACATACTGCAGAGGATAGGTGTATTGGTCTATAATTCTTACATTTTGTTTATTTTATAAAAAAAATGAAATAATTTGTATTTAATTTTTAATTGTCCTTCCATTTCTTTTGTAGTTTAGAACTTTCTGTAGGCACATCAGCGTAATTAAATATTTATATTTTATGCTTTATCACTGCATATTTTCTGATTTTTTTTTTATTGCTTATTATATACCATATTTTGTGAGTTTTTATTGAATAAAAGTCCAGGCTCTGTTTAGAGAATATTACTAAGGGCGGATTTTTAAAAATTTATTTCTAGTTTTTACTTCTTCATTCAATCATTCAACAAAATCTGTCACAAAAACATCTACAATATTATATATGCTTGAGTAAAACATTTTAATTTAATTTGATGGCTATTATTATAATTTCAATGCTAATTAACTAACTTACGCAAGCTCACTCACTCATAGTCATTGTAGACAATTTTAAAAATAATTCCATTACTTACCCTCCCATTGATTGATGACTTTCCAAAACCAGGCGGAATCGACATATCATCGGCCAATCCAATTCATGGCAGGGCCGTTCACATGATGCAAAGTATAAGTCTGAAACATAATAAATTTTTTAATTTATTAACATAATTAATAAATTTTATTTACATTTTGAGGATTCATTAGAAATTGATCAGTCTAAGAATCATTAAAAAGGATCATAGTTTTAAAGATTGTTGGTTGAAAGTTTCTAGTTTCCTTCCTAACTTCAAACTTTTTTGAAGGGGCTCTCATTGTCGAAGTAAACAAAAAACGAAGTTTAATTACCCTATAAAAGAGTAGATTCACAATTTTGAAGTGAACGAATATTTTTTTTTTTTTCCAAAGTTTGATATCTTTCAGCAGACTTTCAATTCCAATAGGGCCCATTGGTTAAGGGTAAGGCCATCATATAAAATCTAGAATATCATGAGGAATAGTAAATAGAAATGAACTTTATTATCCACAAAACATGTATCAAGAAGTGGGTTATAAAAAATAAGAGTGTCTAATCATCTTCTATCATCATAAAGTCAGAAAAAAGTATTTTTATGACTATTGGTATAGTTATAAATTTTCCGGAAGCCCAATTAAAATGACTTTTCAATACTTTAGGAATAGTACTTTCATAAATGAATGTTTCCAACATATTCACAAAAACAAGAACTTAAAAATAAGAACGAATTACAATGTTTTCCCAAACATAAATAATAAAAAAGATAATACCATGACACTATGATTCTTGTATGGTTAGACCCGAAACACTACCGAAATACACATTGTTTCTGGGCTTGCTGTTTCAGATATTTTTGTCTACCAAACTTACTCTATCCAAACATTTTTTACTAAAATTCCCTTGTTTATATATATAAAGTAATTAAGGAGCAGCCTAAAATATTATGATTTCTTGAAATGTATGTTTTTATTTCATTTTTTCAGCCTCAATGAATAATTCTTTCTGCAGCTCAATTTGTCACACAGTAGGAACTGTAGGTTTCTATTGGAGAAATTATTATCTCAATATAAAAATCATTTATTTAATCTTTAAAAACCTAGCAAGAAAGATTTGGGACTAAAGCCAACAAATAGTTCGCGAGTGCTCATCCCCTCCCGCTTTAAAGACATGGTGCATGAACTCTTTTTCCAACTTCCCAAGAAATTTTGCAGCTAATCTCTTCTTAAAAACAATGTAAATGAAAGTATACTTAGAAAAAAATCGTCGATTATATAGATTTACACTTCCCGCAGTATCTTTTATGTTTCTCCCCTTTCTCCTGGTTTAAGACTTTTCATTCCGAAAATTCAAAAAACCTGTCAAAATATGCCCCGTCAACAATTTTGATGGCGCAGCTTGTGGCATTGAACCCACTTCTGGATACCCTTGCTGCTCCAAAAAAGTCGCGTGATGCAACCAAACATCAAATATATGGAACGCGGATTTTATCGGACGGAAGGAGGGAACCTTTAGAAACATGTTCAAATATTATTGGATATTCTTTCAAACATCAATAAATCATAAACTATTGAACGCTCCTTTAACAGGCATAATCAAGACAGAAAAATAGATCATACAAAAACAATACAAATATAGCAAATTGCACAAGATTCAAAAAGGAGATTGTTGCATTATCTTGGAATGATATTTATATCTTGCTTTTTGAAAGTCTTAGGGTTTATTTATTCAATTTTTTAGTAACAATTATTACTCTGGAAAAGCAGTGCCCAAAAGGGGGTATTATTGTGCAAATCGCGCCATACAAATTTTTGAGGATTATGAAATTTCAAAGTGAAAATTATTAAATCAGAGAACAAGGGGAAAAATGATTATTTTTCTAATTCTATATTAGCTTGCACTATTTTCAAAAAGAGTAAAGAAATAAAATTACATTTCGAGAGGATTATGAAATTTCGAAGTGAAAAGTATCAAACCAGGGAACAAGGTGAAAAACATGAACCAGACCACATAAAATGTCATTATATATGATCTAAGATTTTTCTAATTTTATTTTTTGTTGCGATGTTTTCTAGAAGAGTGAAGAAAAATAATTTTTTGGGTGAGTTCCTGCGCCATCGACTTTGAGGCGGATGAGCACCCCTGATCTGGAAGAAATTATACAAAAAATAATCTTTAAGTTACATTTGAAGGCTTATTAAAAAAAAAAAAATATATATTCAGAAACAATAATGCCTTTAGGAATAAACTTTATTATATTTTGTTCATTAGTCCTAAGGGAGATGTTTATTTCTATAAGGTATATGAATAAAGGTTAGTAACAGTTTACTCAACCAAAAAAAAGTTTTCTTTATTTTTATGACGTTTTGGGGTAGTTTAATTAATCCCGTCTTCAGACTAGAAACAAGAAACATTTTTGTTATTTGTATCTATATTTTTTCATGTATTTATCTTATATTTTTTCATGTATCTTCTAATGTCATTAACAAATTTCTCAATCTTATCCGTATCTCATCTTTCTATCATCTAATTTTCTAAAAAAAAGACTAAATTTCTATTTTGATAAATTATCCCTAAAATGGAATACATTTTTTCTGTGTTATATTATTATTTGCATGTAAGTAGCATAGACTCTGTAATGAATTTATTTACCTTAGTTATATTGTTGACTCCTCCGGGGAAAGCCTAGTCAGACACTGAACCAAACTATGCACCAAGGGAATAAATTCTATTTATTTTTATATATTTAATTATGTAAGCGTAATGGCTCCCTATTTTAGCTGCATCAGTTTTATAATTTATTGCTTTATTAATGTTTATTATGTTTAGTTCATTTTTTATTAAATCAAATTATGTTTCTTGTTTCTGGTCTGAAGATGGGATAATAAAATAATCCCGAAACGTCATAAAAATAAAGAAACATTTTTTTTGGGAGAGTAAAATGTTACTTAACTTTATTCATATACTTTATTTCTTATATATTTTTTATGACATGTGCTTAAATTTACTAATTGAAATACATGCATTATAATATTAAAATAGTAAATATTTGATTGTTTTTTTTTCAGGCATATGAGATGGGAGGGGTTGTTCTAGAGATTCAAACCAAACCATAGTGAGAAGGTTGTAGAGATTCATTCCTAGGTCCGATTTTTTATTTACTAGTTGGCCCGTGCAAAAAATTCGCAGAAAATTTTGTTTAGTAAAGAAATAGTAACACAATATGGAAATAAGTAGTTCCTATGTATTATTATTATGTAAGGAAGGAATTGATATTTTTTCCTTAGTTTTATATTTTATATTTATTATATTTGATTAAACATAATAGACCAAAATATTTATACAAATTGCTTTGCTAGGACCTATTTTTAAACGCTGACTGGAAAGATAATAAAAGTATTAAAGACAAAATAATGCCCCGATCATAGGATATTCTAAATTATTAAAAAAAATAAAATGTTACAACAACCAAATGTCTTTAAGAAATGATAAAGTTAATATAAAAGCCAAGAAAAAAAAAATTAGTAGACTATTCTACTCCTAAATGCGATATCTTTAAACAGGAGGACATTATTAAGTATGCCAAAAATAATGGACTATATCTTTGTTAATTATTGTCCGAATTTTACGATTTTTTTTTGTTTTGTAGGTAATTTAGTAATCTTTCTAATTATCATGGGTACAAATGCATACTTCTTGAGTTATTCGCAAATAAAGTTTATTTTCCTCCATAACGTTTTTTTCAGGGGGATGGGACTATTTTTCGCATGTGAATGAGATGAGTGGCTAATCATTGGATTTGATGAAGAATTGACGAAGTTATGGCGTACCTGAAAAAAAAACACCTTTTAGAAATAATATATAGGATTAAATACAGAAAACTGGGTGCGTAATAGGCGTTGCCCAGCAACCTGATTAATTGGAGATAATAAGATAAAACAATTAACGAATTTGCGTCTTAGTGTCAAGGAGAAGGGAGGGAGAGGGACTTTTAACTCTGGAATTAATTCACGAACCTCTCCCCTAGCCGGTGCATAAACCTCTGTAGCCTAAAAAGATCGTTCGCAGAAACAAATATAGATCAACAAAAAAATATATATTTTTCTCTTTTAGGATCTTCAGCCCGAAAACCCACTTTGTGAATGCATTGTGATCTCGTAAACTTAGTCCTAAAATCGACCTACTGCCCAATAACGTCACGAGAGGCCCGGTCCAGCGGCAGATGAAAACGAAAGTTTGTGGAAGTAATCTCTCGGAGAAGGTTTCACCTCACCCCTTTCTCTACGCAAGGTCACTCGTTACGTGTGATGACTCGATCGTGAATCTCTCGTCTGCAGCCATTTGTCAAAATGCTGATGTTTCCGCCTCTAATGACTCGACAATACCTTAGCCGAGTCTCTTTCAAAAGACACGTCTCGCATCAGAGTGTTTTTAGTAATTAAAGAAGTTGTTTTTCGAGTCATAGAAAAGGAAATGGCTGTAGAAATGATTTTCACTTATTCAATTTGACTGTGACTTTCTAAAATGAAACTAGCTAAACAAATCTTTAATGCATATAAATGAATAGAGTGTATGTCATGAAGAGCTTAAATAACTAAGAATAAGTGCTATTACAAAGTAAATTAATCGTCTCTAATCATCGCATTCAAGACTGAAAGCGTGAAATCTAAAATTACAAAACTAGACGTTGGTATTATCGAGTATGATTTTAATTAAGTGCAATCCCTCAACACTAAAAGTGAAAGGTAATATTAAAATACTATCTCTACTTCACCTTTAAAGTTGATCAAGTGATATAAATGATTTTTAGATAGTTGATTAATTAAGTTAAAGATATAAGTTAATTTGATTACTAGGAATCCCGGAATTCTATATTTAGTCTAAAGAAAATTCCCTTATTTTCCTAACCACTTTGTGTGCATAATCCATACAGAAATGACATACAAAATCGACTTAATGACTAGAAATTACCAAAAAATCGAAGAATACTAGAAAAATACTGCGGAAGAATTCTACAAAAAATACTAAATAAAAATATTGAAAACTACTAGAAAAAAAATCTAATAGAAATTTTATTTTTATTTATTTAGAAATATAATAATCTGTTACGTGGATAATAATTATA